ATATTGATTTCAGAAACTACAACGCATATGCATGTTTCAATCATATTGGTTTTGGATTATCATGGGTCAATTTTTACTACGCCATTCGTTAGCATCGCTACGACATTCGTCAATCTTGTGACCCACAAGCCACTCTTGGCAACATCTTTTTTTTTTTTTTGACCTTTTATTAAGCATCAATCTTGCACTAAAAGCGCCAAGAACTGATCTTAAAATCTGATCAACATCAGAACATGGCACAATCACAAGTGGTTGACCACTACCAAACTAAATTTGGTGTGTCGACTCACTAGACTCATAAGCAATAACAACTCCACCGCAAACGGTATAAATTGGATCTAGACATTCAGATAAACATCAAAAATCTAGTCTAAATAATCGACAAAATCATATGTGGTTGACCACTCCCAACATGGGGTATCGACTCACAAGACTCATCATCATAAAATTCGCTTCCATGGTTTCATCAATGAGCGGTGTACCATCGTTCTAACCGTCAATAAAATCTGGGATTTTTTTCCTTAGTCATACTCAAAATCGAATCTGTTCAACAAATTAGTATACTAAACAAAAAAACCAGAAATTAAAGATCAAGTAATTTAAACAAATATGAATAAATTACAAATTATAATTAAATTAAAAATTCTCAAATTTAGAAAATTCAGAAATTAACAATTTAATTATTAATGCAAAAACCACAATAATACAATTTAAACTACTAGAATAAATTGCAATCATTGATTAAAATTTGCATAACGATGACTAAGTAAGATCACTAACGTTTTTGTTCCAATTATCACCAATGGACAACACAAATAAACAACAATGATAAACAAACAGTGTCGAGACCTGCTAAGTGCTAACAATTAACACAATATACTTCCCAAAAACTGGAAGAGAACGTGTCCAAAAACAAAAACAAATCATGCTTGGTAATTAAGAGCCAAACCGGAACTTTCTAAATCGGTCAAACAAATCAAATTTCGCTCAATAATAACAATGAACTGCTCCGAATTTTTGTTAAAGACAACAAATTTCAGAACCATAAAACGCCACCTGCAAGCAATATAACCTATATATATATATTGCATAAAGCAGATTAGTTAACCCAAAAAATCAGCAAAATAAATAAAATAAATTGCAGAAATTCAAAATAAATTCTGGATTTTTTCCAGGGTTCTCAATCCACCAATTTGTAATCGATCCTGATAACACATCCAAACGAGATTGAATCGATCGATGAAAGAACCTGTTCTTATCAAAACTTCACAATTAATCAGTTTTTTCGTTAGTATAATAACGAAAATTTAAAGAATTAAGACTGTAAGACCACGATTTCTACGACATGGCAAAACTGAATAATTGCAATAGATAATGATAAAACCAGAAATAAATTACAACAACCGAAACCAATATTTGTTAAACAAAGAACGGTTTGTGCGGAGGCGAGACACTCTTTCCTTAATTCTTTAATTGCCCGTAGTGTGACGGCTTGACGCAATCAGAATCCCAGGATACAACCGCACCATCTTCTGATTTGCAACACTCAAAATCAGAAGCCTAACGAACTCTAGTAATGTGTGTACTCTCAGACTCGATAACTAGAGAAGAGAAGAAGAAGGAGATTGTGATCTTTTTGATCCATATGTCCATGAGATAAAAATGGAGAGATGAAGCCTTGGTTTTATAGTCCAAGCTCTCAACACTATAATGGAGCAATAAAGGTGAGAATGTTATTGTTATGAGAATGAATTCTCAACATCAATGCCATTGACTCCATCACCTTTAATTGTTGTGAATTAATTTTTGTTGTTACACAATTTATAATTCACATTAAAGGAGATAATTGTTGACTTAATCAACTTACACATTGGGTAATTAACAATTATCATTTGGGTTATAAGCCCATTTCCCAAATCTCAAAATCTCAAACCCGGTCCGGCTCAACACGATACAACATGGCTCGGCACACATGCCTGGTTTGGATTTCTCCTTTAACTTCCGAAGTGCGACATTTGATCCTTTAGTCAAATTTCAAGCTATCCAAGCTAGCCACTTCGGACCTCCATTTCTCATTCAAACGAACTTCAACTTTGAAAGTTACCCGAAAAAGTAGTCCGGCGCAACCAATCAAAATAAGTTCCAACAATTACATCATCTGCATTCATAACTTATCAGTACATCAGAATCTAGACCGAAGGCAAGAAAGGATAAGTAAACTACCCGAGATAAACACAGTATCGAACTAACTGCCAAGATGTTGGCACCTTCCTGCACATTGATCAGTTTCATGTTTCTTTGAGTATTTAATGAAAGCCTTCTTCTTTGACTTGGCCCAGTTCTTGTAGAACCTCCTCCTCACTTCTTCGCTCAGATGTTGAGCCCAAACAGTGCTTATAGAACGCAGACCTCGAGGTGTCTTCACATACCCAACAACACCAACAACAACCATTGGAGCGAGGTGTGTCTCAATTATAGTTACAGCTTCACATGTTTCCTTCTTGTGGAGCTCTGGCAATAACTTTGAAAAGATCAGGAAAAAAAGTCACATGTATCATTAGTGTAAGTTCTGTGAATCAATAAGGTAAGAGATTGTAAGTTCTGTACCAAATGATAAAAAACCGTATAACATTTAAAGAGGAGTAATCAAATCAGCTATGTACGAGAACATATAATGAAAAGAAGTAGAAATCAGGACTTTTGCAGAGAAATTGTGACAACATGAGGTAGGATTACTCTCTTGAGGGTGGAGTAAACGTGCTTTCTTCTTTTCTCTCTGGCCATCCGTTGATGCTCTCGTGCCGCCGGGTACAGAAAGGTTCTCTAGCGTTCCCGTTTTTGCGTTAGTTTTCGGAGAAGCTGTAGGCAGTCTTTCTAGAGGTTTTGAGGACTTGCTTTAGGAAAGATTTGCACGTGGCAACAATGATGATTCATGATTGGTGTTTCTTCTTCGAGCCCAAATGGTGTTTCTTCTTTCGAGCTGCGGCAATTTCGCAAATGTCCGAACTTCGCGGTTCAGGATTGGTGTTTCTTCTTCGAGCCCATTCTGGATTTTTGCTTGTGTTTTTCCTTGCCGTGTTTTCTCTTGTATTCGTATGTCTTTAGTTGTAGTTTTAGGTCTTTCAATCTCCATGTATTTAGTCTCTTTCAATCTCCTTTGTTATCTCTTTAATAGCTATCGCAAATTTGAAAATGGTATAAATACTTTACATTGTTACCAAAAAAAAAAATTGTGACAACATAAATATACTCTTGAGGAATTCTGGAAATATGAAACGAAATGCTCCCTCGATCAAAGGCCTATGGCATCATTAAGATATCCAAATCTCAAGCTCATTAGAGTGTTTCTAGCTAGAAACCAAATTTGGTTTCTAGCAAAAGAGTAGATCAGAGACTCCGGCCTTGATTTTACAAAGTTATCCGAGGGTTTTCATTTTGAATCATAAACCGCAACAACTTGAGAATATATAAATGTTCAAATCATATAACCAAAAATCACACACATGTTTTTCATATAAAATCACATACAACAACACTTAAACAGCTAGACTGCTAGAGAATGTGAAACTATGATCAAACGAAAAGGCACAGAAAAACTGAAATTTAATGAGAAAATCATGAGGTAAGAGATAACCAAATTTCTCAGTACTAATGTCTGGAAGCTAGATCGAAAGAACTTAACGCAAAATCAAAATCAAGAGAGCTTTGTGTCCCTTAAGAGTTAAGACTTAATAACTTAATATACTCTCTTGTCTACTTAGGGTTTCGGAATTATGATGAGTTAAGAGCATCTCCAATGGTGAGACACTCATAGGGTGTCTCACCAATATAATATTAATATTTTATGTTTAATTTTAGACAAACTCACACTAAAATTCTACTTCCATTGGTGAGATATCTCTATGGATGTCTCACCAATATAGTATTAATATTTTATGTTTAATTTTAGAGAAACTCACACTAAAATTCTATTTACATTGGTAAGATATCTCTATAGATGTCTCATCAATATAATATTTATATTTTTATATTAAATTTAATTTTTCAATAATATTTTGAAACATATCAAATTATATCTTAAATGTAGTCATTCAAACTAAATAATTATATTTATTTATAGAAGTAAATAATATAATGAATATTAATAATGTTTAAAACAACAATTAATAGTACTATTAATTATAAATAATATATTAAAGAGACTATTATTTTTAAAACCACAATTAAACATAAATTGAACTTTAAACTACATATAAAACCATATTAAAGATATATAAATTAAACATAAAATTACATATAAAACCATGATAACATAAATTAAAATGCAAATAAAAACATACAAAACCAAAATAGATAATATAAGTTTTACTCTTCACTTGATGATGCGTCAAACTTTTGCCATATATGCTCAACTAAGTCGGCTTTTAGTTGTTGATGATTAAATTTTAAATACATATATCTGAAATCACAATTATATATTAATCTAAAAATTATTGCAAAATATAAATTATAATTTTTTAATTTAAATTTATAATATAATATTATTGTATTAATTAAAAAAAATTAATTTAATATTTTGTATTAAGCTTAACTAACACCAATTTAAAATAATATTATTATATAATTTAAAGTTATACATAATGGAGCTTGATATATAGATAATTTTATTTTATAATTTTTTAAAAAAGTTAAATTAAAAAATAACAAACATATAAAGTATTTAGTTAATGTTATAAACTATAGAGTATTTGATTTGTTACAAAGAAAACTAAACTAATAAAAAAGTGACAGTGGAAGAAAGAGAGAGTTTCTCATGGTGTCTCAAATGAGAAACGTTTCTATACAAAATTGACTAAAATAATATTATTTAAATGTTTTTCATTTTATTTTATTGGAAGAAATTTGGTGAAACACTAGAGATGGTCTAAGTCAATAATATAGATATGAGCTTCGCTTGTGGTTAGGTTCAAATAGCCCGGCCCATAATACGAGAGTTGATTAGCCCGTCCACCCCACTCTTTCTGCCCATGACGCGGTATGGAATATTCAGCAACAAATTAGTACTTAATCTTCGTTATCAACTCAGTGTGAGGTCGTCAATCCTTTGGTCTTGACTCTTGAGATGGGTTGGGGGAGGAAGAAGAAGCCAAAGTCCGATATAGAGCACAAGAGAGGGGCAATATTATTAGAAGATCTCATCAAATGTTGCGATGGCAAATCCAATCCCATAAAACTCTTCTCTACTGATGAAATCCGCAAAGCCACCGACAATTTCAGTGAGTCGAATTATGTTTACGAATTATCTGATTTTGACTGCAAATGGTATTCAGGTAAGAACGAGAACCACCACAAAATACTCATCAAGAAAGCTGACGATGGCTTATATAACTATCGACAGGGACATTTGTGCCGCGACATAGCAGTTTCATCGATTGTGAGCGGTCACAAAAACTTTTTGAAATTGGTTGGATGTTGTCTTGAGTCTGAAAATCCAGTAATGGTTTATCATGGTGTAAAGAGACATTACAAACTAAATTTAAGTGAACAGACGTGGAAAAGGAGAATGAAGTTAGCGGAAGATATCACTACTGCTTTAGCTTACCTCCACACTGCGTTCCCAAGGCCCTTCGTACATACGAGTATGTCTCTTGGGAATATATTTTTGGATGAAGATGGGGTCGTGAAGCTGAGTGATTTCTCTTGTTGCGTCTCGATTCCAGAAGGAGAAACATTTGTCGAGGTTGACAAAGTAGTGGGAACATATAATTACTTGGACGATAAATACATGAGAAATGGCGTAGTCTCGGAGGAAACCGATGTCTTTGCCATTGGAATGTTTATGATACTAAATATTCTAACCGGAACGGAAAGCTTTTTGGATTTTTATCTAGAAGAAAAAGAAGAAGAAAAAGAACAAGGTGAAGGTGAAGATTATGGTACTGATTATGAATTTGAGAGTAAGATGAGAAGACGTCTTCAAAATTGGCTGTCAAAATTAAAGGAAGACCGACACATGGATGAGATCGCAGATCCAAAGATGCTAGAAAAGATGGATCAAATTTCAGAACAAGAGCTTTGTCAAATGGAAGCTTTCTTGATGCTCTCACTGAGATGCATGATTTCTCTCATGGCCTTTTTAACTACTTGACTTCCATTAAATTTACTAACAAATTCAAACAATAAAAATACAAATTGACAAACACGTGGTGGCAGAGGTCAAAAGTAATCAAAACAAGAATGATGCTCAATATCTTTATTCTTGAGATGTCATGAAGCCTCTAGTTAACAAAGATGCTATCAAGTTCGCAGATTTTTTATTTCTCATTTGCTGAGTACAAAAACACCGACCTAGGATTAAAATTAAAGGTTACATAAAACCAAATGATGACAAGATGGTTCTACATGAAGATCTGTTGATTCATCGTCTCTTAGCAGCTGCAGCTACAACAACATAAGCTAATTAACAATCAGATTTGAATCTTATAACTCACTTCAAAGACGTATATCTTCCTAAACCTCGTTGATATTTCCACATAAATTCCGAATTCAGTTAATTCCGCGTGACTTATAAGTTACAACCAAATAATATATATCCACATGCAGCTGCGAAGATAGCCAAACAAATTTATAAAATGTATCCTCGTGCGATCATAAGATTTAAAGACTGCTAGGTAAAAAAATAAATTTGTGCATCGTAATTGGGCTGTGGTCTACCTTTGATTGCTTTGGGAGAAGTCAAAGTGGAATCATCTTCTCCTGGCAGCTGGTTGCATTTGTGCACCTCCTGCCTGTCCACCTGCGGGTTCTTCAGCCATGTTTGATGCTTGTGTTACAGCGTTCATCACTACGAGTCCCAGCGGTATCAAATACATCCACTGCGTATCATATGAAATTTATATCAAGACCTAAAACAAAATAAAAATCATCAAAAGATCTTTATTGTATTACTCACATATTTTGCCCAAAATGATCTCTCTGGTGGCGGTTCAACTTCTCCCTCTACATTCTCACCACCTAGAATCTCCTCAGTGAATATTGGAGTTCTGTGAAACAGTCAGGTAAGGATAAGCTAAAATTTTAGTTATTGGGCTAAGCGGTGGAAGCAAACTGTTTATTGATATAACTTGATGAACTGACAAAAAATTTCATGCTATATAGTACACATATAGAATATAGATGTGCAGGCTCATGCAAAATAAAGCCATTTGATTCAAAAAACGCAACAATTGTTCTACCTTGGCGCCTGCTCACTGCTTTTCAGGATGGTGTGCGAGTTAAACGACCATTTTGCTGGCTACAGTAAGCAAAAAAAGAGAAACATGGATTAGATAGCATAGATAATCAAAGTCAGAAGCTCTTACGAAAATGTAACCTTCTTCCATCATAATTATAAGGTTTCGGAGTTCAAGTAGACAAGAGATGTAATAGAACCCAAGGTTGGATTCTATCGGAATGTATCACTATTAGGGACACGTAGAGAGACCAGCAAATCACCTACTTTGTTTATTAGAGGAAACAGTTAGCTATAATTAATCCAAACCAAAAGACTACACTTCCATGGAAGGACGCTTACCCTCGTATATAGGGGCACAAGCAGACAGAAAGGGATTTAGAATGTGCGGAAAGTCAATTAGGGACACACAAACAAACTCACAAAACATGGAAAGTAGAACCAACACTCCTCACTCCAAACCACACCCCAAAGTCACACAATTATGTAAGGTTTATTATGTAATGTTTACAATGATCCTAAGACCATACTCTCACATGTCTTATCTTCTAATGGTATATCCTCACAAAAATTTCTGCAAATCTATCAACATATTACAGAACGCTTATAGATATTCCACTTATGCTGAAAATATCTAGGCAAAATAGAGAAAGAGGATGCAATACTGTACTCTAGAATATGACTCAAAATATATTAAATCACAGAAAATATTGGTGAATGGAAAGATAATGACTCAATTACATCATCTGCATTCATAATTTTATCAGTATACCAGAATCCAGACCGAAGGCAAGAAAGGATCAGTCCATGTCCTATTTATCTCAGTTAGAGTGTAAAATAAAAAGAGAAGCTGGGATAATAGAGTTCACTTACAAGTTTCAACTGTCGAGGATATTGACACGCCCCAGGAGAACCATAACTAACTGCCAAGATGTTGGCACCTTCCTGCAAGCGGAGACAGTATAGCAGTTAGCAAGTAAACGAACCGAGCCGAACACAGTTTTGAACTATATTCATAGTCCCAACTTTCTTTGTAATATACTCACGTAGTAGTTAAAATGCCAAGGCGCAAACTAAAATTTGAGCTCAACAAACGTATATACCAAAAAAAGGGCATTACCATGTGTATAATGAAATGCTCATCCAAGCCATCCCGTGGTAGACATCTCTGCAATCAAACAAGTATATTGTTTTATAACAGACACATAGGCTGACGGAAAAGTGGGAAAAGGCAAGAAGGGTGCCTAAACGAGTGTTGTATTTGTCAGTCTAGCCTAGAAACAAATTTGTAAGTGTTTTACAGAACGACCAACCATTTCATACCGATCCAATTATACAAACAAGCTCTCATATCTTGAAAGAGTAGAAATAAATTAGATTATTACTAGAAAGCTGTAGCCTACTAGGAGTTCAATGAGTGAAACTAAATGAACTAATCTTTCAGCCAGCCACCATGGTTACAAAGAGTCTTTTATATAGACTAAAACAAAGCCTGTAATTTACAGCTCCATACATGCGAAAGCACTAGCAAACAATCAAAGAAAAATCACAAAGAAATCAACCTAAAAGGTTGACATTGACTTACAGCTCTCACTGATGCAATCACAAACTCTCTCCCTGGTGGACTGACCACATTAGATGGAAGCCTAATCCGATAAAAGTCATCTCCTTTCAACAGATTCTACAAATACATTCCAACAAAAAAAGCATTACATCTCTCAATTCCAAGGAAATTAGAGAAACAACTGATACAACAATAACATTAGAATAATACCTTGAATGCTTCTTTCTCTTCAGCAGAAAAATCATTCCTAGAGAATCGCAGCTTCGTTAATGTCTGCATCCACACAAGATCAAATCTAGTTAATTACAATTAAATATCAGATAATTTAACAATCTTAATTAGATCAATTCACTTCAGAGCAAAGCCAATTCCAGAATTTGCAGATTAAACTTGATAAGATCGAAGTAACATGAACAGATTCGATCCAAAAACCTAACATCAATAAACCGAATCTCGATACCTTTCCGCCATGACTCCAGGTTTTGAGACGAGCGGAGAAAGTACCGGCGGGGGAGAAATCGGAATCTCCGAAAGCATGTTCGAGAGTAAATTGGACTTTGGAATCCAAATCGGTAGGATCTGAGTATCTTCTCCGGATAGTTGGAGTCTGTTGCTGCTGCTGTGGAGAAGAAGAAGATGATGTGTGAAGATCGGTGGAGCGGGGCTTTGCTCCTTCTAGACCAAATTCATCGTCGTCAACGAGGAGTTCGTCTGATTGGAAAGCGATGCATGAGGAGAAGATGAGAAAGGAAAGGAAGAAGAGAAGTGTGAGCTTCGCCATTGTTGCCGGCGATCGAGGTTTTTTGTGTTGTGTGTAGATTTAGCAGAGTAGTTGTGCGAGGGTCGCTGAGTCCGATATATCGATCGAGTTTTGGAAGTTTTTGAGTCTTTAACGAAACTGAATTAATAAATGGAAGAAGAAGAAAAAAAAAGCTTTATCCCAAATATTGTAAAAGAAAAAAAATGAGATATATTTTTTTGGTAGGAAGAAAAAAAAAAATGAAATATATTGTTGTTATTCTAAATTTTGTTTTATTGTTTTAGTATTTTGTTCGATAGATTTATTTGTTATACAATTTTGTTCTAGGCTTTCCATGATGACCATCGTCTCCGTAGTATTCGGAAGTGTTTTATGAGATTCTGTTTTTTGATTTTTATTTGTCGGGTTATGAAGTCTTAGTTAATTGGTTTCGAGAAATCATCTCCTATGATAGAAAAAAATAGATATTATCGATAGGGTGGCCATGGGCAGCAATGATAAATCGGATTCACAATTTCTTCTAAAGAAAATGTCTTCTTTGGTACTTTTTTTTTTTTTTTTTGAATGAATGTAAAACTTATTCAACCAAAAAAACGTTTTTACAATGAATGCAACCTTAATTCAAACTTGTTTTTGAACTGAATCTGAAATAAAAGAAAAGAATGTTAGCTTCTGGACTCAAACCATACACGAAGGCCATCTTCGTGTTTACGGGGATCCTGTCGCCGGATAGATGAGATTTTATTGTGTATCAATCGATCAATCATCTTGATTAACTGATCTGCAGTACTTGGTAATTCGTCATGCCTTCGTTTGTTCCGCTCTATCCAAATAGAGTGGGTAGTAGCTTGGAAAAGAAGGCGAAGAATGAAGCCAACCGTGCCTGTGATTGTGGAGTTGGATAGAAGATTCAGTACCTCTATGAAACTGGTAGTGTAGCGTTGTTGAAGAAGTCGACGTGCCAGCTCCTCCCAGATTCGCGAAGAGAAGACACAAGAAAAGAAAATGTGCTCTCGTGTCTCCATCGGAGCTTGACAAAAAACATATGACGGATTCACTCCCCTGTTCCAAGAGACCATACACTCACCCGTGGCTAGTCTGTTTTTTGCCGCAAGCCATAGCAGGAAAGAGTGTTTCGGAATAGAGTCCGGGAACCAAACACTCTTAGCCCAGCTTATTTTTGGCCCTACAGTTCGGAGTTGTTTCCAAGTTTCAGAAGTGATGAACCGTGATCTGAGCTTGTTATTTGGTCTTCTCCACAAGGATACATCCGGATCAAGGCATTGTCCCTTGCTTCGAAGTCTCTCTAGCTCCGCCTCAACTTGATTTAAAATATCTAGACGGTGATGCCTAGCTCTGTGATTTGCTAGGACTGTAGCAACCGTAACTTTAGAGGAAACTCCAAAATCAATGAAACCCCGCACTCCAAGAATATCATATAATCGACCAAGAGAGCACCAGTGATCATACCAAAAGGATGTTTGTAACCCACTTTTAACTTCCATTGAGTGAAAAACCTTGGCCTGCGATCTGTATTTGAGCAACTTCTTCCACATCCAAGAGCCCAAAGAGGTGGTTTCTTTGACAGACCAGAATGAACCGGATCGAATGAGTTCTCTTTTTATCCAATTTACCCAGAGAGAATTTGGATTTGAGACTATCCGCAAAATGAGCTTAAAACAGCTTACCTTATTCATTTCAACCACAGATTTGAGCCCCAAACCACCTTCATCTCTTGGCTTACAAACATCCCTCCACGCTACCTTGTTCTTCTTTGTGTTGAGAGACGGACCCGACCACAAAAATGCAGCACATATCTTTTCTATTTCCCTTACACAGGCTGAAGGTAATCGAAATGCAGCAATCCAGAAGTTGGTAAGACTTGCGATCACGGAACGTAGTAGTTGTAATCTTCCCGCAAAGGATAGAAACCGGTTTTTCCATGAACTAATCCGGCCTCTTATTTTTTCAAGCAATGGAAGACAATCAGATAGAGTCATCCGCTTTGTTAGCAGAGATAATCCCGAATAGCGGACTGGTAATGCACCAGAGTCGAAAGGAAATCTGGCTAGAATCTCAACTTTGTTATGAGCAGATATACCGGCTAAGAACAGAGTTGACTTCTCAAGACTTATACTTAATCCTGAGATCTTGTGAAAATCCTTGAAAACATCGAGAATTCCTTCCATAGAGGCTGCTCTACCATCCGTAAAAACCATTATGTCATCTGCAAAACATAAGTGTGTAAGCTTCATATTTTTGCATCTCGGGTGAAAACCAATTTTTTTTTCCACCACAGCCTTATCAAGGAGAGATGATAAAACATTCATACAGATCACAAATAGATATGGAGAGAGAGAGCATCCCTGTCTCAACCCCTTTTCACTCTTGAAAAAACCAGCAAGCTCTCCATTTATTTGAACAGAGAAAGAGGCCGTTGAAATACATAGAGAAATCCAGTGAATGAATTGTTCTGGTAGGTCCATTGCTGCGAGCACATTCAACAAAAAATCCCATTGTACGGAATCAAAAGCTTTCGAAATGTCTATCTTCATCGCACAACGAGAAGACACACCTTCTTTGTGATAATCTCTCACCAATTCAGTAGCAAGTAGTAAGTTTTCCATTAGAAGTCTATCCTCAATAAACGCTGACTGATTCGGAGCAATGAAATCGGGGAGAATGGTCTTTAACCGATTAGCCAATATTTTTGAGATAGTCTTATACACCACATTGCAGCAAGAAATGGGTCTATAATCTTTCATCACCCGTGCATCTATCGTCTTTGGGATAAGAGCTAGAATTGTCGCGTTTAGTCCTTTTGGCAAGAAACCAAACTTGAAGAAAGATTGTATTGCAACTGTGAAATCACTTCTAATAATTGACCAAGCTGCCTTATAGAACTCCACTGTGTAACCATCCGGTCCCGGCGATTTATTTGTAGGCATAGAAAACAAAACCTTTCTCACCTCATCCTCCGTAACATCCGCAAGAAGATGATCCCGCTTTGCCGGAGGACAGCGATAGGGAAGCAGCTCCCGAAGATCATCAACCTCAATACCTACATAGTACGACGGTTTATGTGTCAATAGTTCCGAGAAAAACCGAACCCCTTCCGCTTTTATTTCCTCCATACTCTTAAGACAAATGCCATTAGGGTCTAAAATCTCATGAATAGAGTTTTGAGCATTTCTTTCCTTTGTAGCATTATAAAATGCCTTATTGTTCTTGTCCCCCACATCTAACCAGTGCAACTTTGATTTTTGTTTCAGAAAACCCTCCTCTAAACCCGATAACCTCTCCCATCTTTCAACAGCTAAGGACTCCATGGCCATTTCTACCTTTGTCGGATTAGAGAGAGTACTCAACTGTCTTGCCTCTAATCAGCCCCGGCTCAATATATTTGAGAGCCTTAGGGCAAAAAAATTTTTTTTGGCCTATTATTATATACAAAGAGAAAATTTATTTAATTTTTAAAATTTTTGCGGAGTTTTTATAGTAAAAATTGTTATTAAAAATTTTGGGCCTTTTTATACATTTTCTTATAAATAATTAGACCTCTTAAAATATAATTCTCATATTAATAATATTTTTAAAAAATATTTGGGCCTTTTTTATATGTAAATTTTTTTATAAAAAAAAAAAGCCCGAGGCCGTCGCACCTCTGCCCTACCCATCTGAGCCGGGGCTGCCTCTAATTCCTGAAGAGCTTCTGCAGATTTATTTGATATATCTGACAATGTGTTACGACTAAGAACTCGCAGTGATGGTTTGAGTTGCTTTAGCTGTTTTGAGAGTCGAAACAACGCTGATGTAGAGTGAAACAGAGTCGGATACCCTCTCCAATATTCCTCCAATTGAATAAGAAACTCCGGCTGAGAAGCAATAACATTTGAAAACTTGAAAGGCCCTTTTGGAATCTGAATTTCTGAATCCAAGAAGATCTTACCACGGAGATGGTCCGAGCAGCCCCCGGATTCCATGACACAATAAGAGTTCGGATACTCTCTAAGCCATTCAGCATTATGTAAAACTCTGTCCAGCTTCTTACATATTAGACCATGCTCTTGTCGGTTGCACCAAGTAAAAAGGGGACCGTGAGTTCTCAAGTTTGAAAGAGAACAATATCTTACTACGTCCTGAAAGTCCCTCATCCCCGAAGAGACCATTGGATTAGTAGCAGAATTAGAATGTTCCTCAATGTCTAGTGTCTCATTAAAATCACCAAAAATAGACCAAGGCTTCCCACGAATTACAGCAAGGTCATGTTGCTGTTGGATATCACGCCACAATTCCTTTCTTTCCTCTGGAGTATTAAGAGCATAAATAAAAGAGCACCTGCAACTTAGTTTGTTTGCTCCAAAGTCACCCAAATCCTTCCCAATCTACTGAAATCATAATTAGCCTCTAGACTCCAGTCACCAACAGTTCTCTCCTTCACACCAGTAACTCTGTTTTCTTTGACTTTCGTTTCAAGTAAACATCCAAACTGAAAAGAATTTTCCCGAATCCATTTTCTAATAACACGTTGTTTCTTGGACTTATTCAGACCTCGAATATTCCAAAAGAAACCCGACATTAATGTTTAGATTTGGAATTCTTCTTTCTGAAAGTGCTCTGGACATTGCCCTTTGCTCGCTGGGAATTTTCTGATAAAAACTTGTGTGAATTTTTTGAATCACGTGGAAGCTGCACCCTCAAAGCAACCGAATCCTTATTCAATTAAGACTTTGGATGTGTTTCCAATGCTGTGTCTTTTTTTTCAATAGCCGGAGTGGATTCAGCCTTTTCAACTGTTTCTGTTTCCGGAATGATTTCACCCTCTTCTTGAGTATCCTGCAAAACATCAAACCGTGAAGGAGATATTAGACGAACCTGACCATAAACCAAGCTTTTATCTGACCCTTTAGAGTGTTGCCCCCCTGAATTGGGGACATTCTTCCATTCACCATCCTGTCCTGTTACGGATTGCTTCACGACCGGAGAAACAGGGAGTTCTGTTTCCACAACCGACAAAACCTTCGCAGTGACATTCTCTTCTCTACCTGTTTGTAGATTCACACTCTTTGGGCTTAGCCTCAATTCAAGAACATCATTTGAAGTTTCTTTTCTGTAATACTGTTTGAGACTGGTGCAACAATTATTTGCGAATCTGGTCTAGCCACTGGGGAGCGAGATACTCTCGGAGAGCCAGCTCGGCCAATATTTGCCAAACCACCATCATCCGAGTGTCCCCACTTTTTGCAAATACCACATTTTTGTGGTAGCCATGGGTATTCAAATTCAATACGTACTTCTTCTCCTCGTATTTGAAAAAAATAAGTCTTTGGAAGCTCTTTTGATAAATCAGCTTCCAAGAAGACCTTTGCTTCCTCAAAGCTTGAAACGAGCTCCGTGTCCGGATGCAGCCTCTTCGGTTCACCCACAGGGCTTGCTAAGAAACTGAGACCCGGCCACGTAAACATAGAGTGCGGAACATTTTTAATTTTTACCCACAGCGGCATGGTTTTAATCTCTGGCTGAGCATCCTCCACTATGGGAGTCCATTTTGACATCATCATTGGCTGCTCACAAACATTCCACATGCCTCTCCTTAGCGCACGCATCCTTGCAGAGACGTTACGTATCCGGAACTTGACAGTGGTGGAATTGACCTCAAATACATCAATCCGAATACTCTTGTCGCCCAAGTTCCAGATCTTATTCACTATGACATGGATCTTGGCTACATGAGGGGCAGTAGACGGGAACCGGCCGATTAGAAAATCTTCCCACAGGGGGACTGTATCATTCATAACTTCATCCGGTACAGCCACCATGGCCTTACCATCCACCATTGAAACTTTTACATCAAACTTAGCAAGGCTTGGCCTGCTACCAACGGCATTTGCATACGACTTAGGACTGGATACCTCTTTAGGCTGACTTGAAACCTCCTGTGACTGACTTGAAACCGGCATGGAGACCTCTCCGACACCCTCCACCATCTTAGGGAACCCGGCGGCTGGCCGCCTGAGCACTCCTTGCGTGAGGCAAACGAAAAAAACCTAATCGCCAAAAAAATCGCCCCTGCTGACGTGTCACCAAAATTAACTTATATTTTTCTTCTTCTTTGGTACTTGTGTCAAGTGTTTTTCTTCGAATTTTAAGTTTGTGTGCTTCCTTAGTTTTTTTTTTCGATTACTTTCGATTTCGGCTTTAAAATTTCTTGTTTGTAGTGTGTTTATGTTTCCTTACATAGATCTTAGTCTTTGAAAAAAATTCATGTTTTCTTCCGTCTTAGTTTCTGAGAACTTTTCTTTCGTCCGACAAGTTACAAAGGTCTAAATTTTTTTTGTGTGTTTACTTCTCGACAATATATATATATATATATATATATATATATATATATATAGGGGTGAGCACACAACTACAAGATCTCACCCAAAACAACCCGATAACAATACTTTCTTAACAAAAAAATCTAATCCCAATATACATATTTATCTAGAGGAATATATGTAAACCGGCTCCGAGTATCAAGGAGTAAGATCCTATACTAATATTTGGGAAGTTCATCCTAAGGCTCATAACTTAGATTTTGTAAAAAATTACAATATATGCCATTAGAGATATCTAATTATAAACATTTTTTTCCATTTCACTAATATATATTTAACGGGTCAACGGGCGGGTTTAAATAATTAACGGGTTTAAAGATATCAAAAGATTTTTTTATATAATTTCAATAATTAATATAGTTTAATCTAATTCAATATAATTCAAGAATGTCTTATTCTAATCAATTCGACAATTTAACACAATGATGTTCAATAATCAATTCGAGAGTCATAATTTAACACAATTCGACAATTTAAAAATTTAACACATTGAAAATGTTACTCAAAATGTTATATACTAATCCATCATTCAAACATGTTATAAAGTGAATTATAAAAATGTTATTGAAATTGTAAACATAAAATGATATATCATTGAAAACATTTTATATCAAGCCAATTTATTATAAAAAAAAATTATTATAAAAAAATTTATATAAAAAAATGCTATTCGAAAATTATATATCATTTTACAAGATGAGATTGAAAATGTTAGTAAGATTCGTAATCTTTGATGAAGCTAAACAATATAACTCGAATCCTATATAAACAAAAAATAATTTAAGTTACCTAAATCTTTGTTTCTAAGTAAGATTCGTAATCTTTGATGAAGCTAAACCATATAACTGGAATCCTAAAAATATATTTCAGTTTCCTAAAAATTTTTGAAATTATTGTCAAATCTGTTTGTTATATATGTTATAATTCTATATTCCTCTTTGCTACCTTAGAATATACCTTTTACTAAGTATTATCTAACTAATATCTTCCCAAATCTTCAAAGATTTTAATCGACTATCTACAACTATAAATAACCCTCTTCGTTTTACCATTATACTCACCAAAATCGGCTCTTTCTCTTTTCTTTTAACCTGCAAAAAACAAAAAAAACACAACAATGGCTCAGCTTACTCGATACACACCAGTCAACAACTTGAAGCCTTTAAAAACGGCTTGGAGAATTCAAGTTAGAATACTTCATTCCTGGATTCATTTCACAAAAGGTTCTGGCATGTCGTTAGAAATGATTCTAGCTGATAAGGATGTAAGTGCTATTCAAACATTTTTCATTTATCATTGTAATATATATGAGTTACGTTATAACTCATCTTATTTCTTTTACAGGGTAACAAAATTCAAGCAGGCATCAAAAAGGAACACATCAGCAAATTCCAGCGTTATGTGAAGAATGGAGATTGGAAGATAATTGAGGAATTCTCGGTTAATAAGGCAACAGGAACATATCGATCAACAACTCATTCCTACAGAATCAATTTCCACTACGCTACTGTCTTTTCTCCCTCACCATCCATTTCTAATGAGGTTTGGCTTGACTTAGTTGATTTTACAACTATTCTGTCTGGTAACTTGGATCAAAATAAGTTGGTAGGTGAGTATTTTTTATAATTATTTATTTTGTATTTAAATATTACGTTAATCATTGGGATATATATTTACATCTATGATTCTGTTTTAGATGTTCTGGGTCAATTGGTTAACGTTGGAGAAGCTCAAATAATTGATGTCCATGGTAAACCTACCAAGAAGATTGATTTTCAGCTAAGAGACACTGAGTAAGCATTTTTGTTTTTTTTTTTACATAATTTTATTAAACCTTTTCTTCTGATTTATTATCTTGGTTTTTTAATTCTATAATTTTTCTTTGGTTAGTGATAACCGTCTACCATGTTCACTATGGGGAAAGTTTGCTGACCAAATTAGCAAAGTTGCGCAAGAGTCTCTTGGTTCTGTCGTTATTTGTTTGATAAGGTGGGCCAAGTTAGGAGAATACAAAGGTATGTAATGTTATTATTGGTGAATAACATGACCCTATATAAAACCACACCATCATATATTTATCGTTGTTTGCCATTATGACTTGCAGAGATTAGGAGTATTTCTAATGCTTTTGATGCTTCGGATGTTTTAGTCAACCCAATTTTGCCGGTTGTTGATGACTTTAGGAGAATGTGAGTAATCTACAAACTTTTACATACTTTTGTTTTTGTAATAGATTAAAATTTTGCTTTTAATCTTTAATTTGTTGTGGTTCAGGCTTCCATCTGATGGACTTGCCTTGACTATCATGGGACCTAAGCCTAGATTCGAGCCTCTAAAGGTGCGTGAACAGAGGTCCCTAGGGTTACCTCTCAAGACTATTGCCGAGCTTAAGGCCTCTTATGAGGTATTTGCTACAGCTTTAATATAGGCAATATTCTAACTGTATTTGGGAATTATATTAAATCTTCACTCACCCTACATTATTTTTCTAGATTGAGAAGGTTAAGATCTTCTGCACCATTTTGCAAATTGACTTGGACTACTCCTGGTATTACTATGCACACATCAAATGTAACAAAAAAGTCTTCCAAACTAAGAAACTTCTTAGCGATGGTGCCAAGAAGATATTGAACAGATGTGAGAAATGTAATGCAGAAGTTTCTGCAGTTGAAGCAAGGTCATTGCTTTAAACCTACCTTAAATTACAGATTTGTCTTCGTGATTAATAAGATATGTTCTCACAATTTTTATATCTGTCTTAGGTACTGGCTCCACCTAGACGTTATGGACAACACGGGGGAGACCAAGCTTATGTTGTTTGATAGTTTTGTTGAGAAAATAATCGGAACTCCTGCTTATGAACTCTTGGAGGGCACTGATGAAGCGGTAATATGTAATCATATGAATTTAGCTCCATTCTTTTCTTGCTAGATTATAATCTTATACCTATACTTTATACAGGAACTTGATGATCCTCTTCCACCTCCTGATGTAGTTAAAAACATCATTGGAAAGACTTATCAATTTGTGGTAAGTGTTGAGCAAGAAAACATCTCAAGAGGAAATGATGAATACAAAGTGACTGAGGTTTTAACAAGTCAGAACCTCAATCAAGCTGACCCTAAAGATGAATGTAATTATTCTTTGGATCTTTCATCCATGAGTTCCAGTGACCAGGTAATACATTTTCCTAATTTGAGTGTGTTTTATATTATGTGGTAATGTTTATTGTGAGTTACTCGCCTAATTAAAAACGAAATATGTTTTAGGTTTTGATGCTGACTAATAATTCTGATAAGGAGGGCACTTCCAATGATGTTTTTTCTACCCCATCTTCAAAGAGAAAAGAAGATTTCTCGGATGGATCTGATCAAAACTCCACAAGCAAGAAACAATGCATGGAAAAACAATCCGATGTTAAAGTTGATGGTGTCATTGATGTAGAAAATCCGAAGGAACATGATCTTCCTAAGTTCATAAACAAACTTGATGAGGCAGGTGAACAAGTCATCACCAAAGCAAGTGAAGAAGAACAGAAAAAGGTTCTTTTGAAGAAGATTAAGGTTGAGAAGATCGAAGGTCAGAATGGAGCAAAGTGAGGGAGCCAAGACTCAACAATTTAGAATAAAGTTCATCTGATGAATTTAGGTTTTATTTTATGTTAGTTATCTTTTCAAACATTGTTTCCCCTTGCTTTCATTTCTATCTAAGCTTTCAAAAATAAGTACCTTCATTGAGTAAATTTAAGATCTAATAGCTTTTGAACCAAGCCATATTCATATGCTGTCTCCGGTATATCTAACAAGAGAGAAATCTTATTGATTCTACTTTATAAACTATCCATAATCCTAAAACCATTATAACTGAAAATAAAGTATAGCATGATTACTTTAACGGGACTTACTTATTTTAATGGCTTTTTCCAGACTGATCTTTATCCAATTTGTTGTAACTGCTTTAGCATAATCCTGTAAATAAATCAACAAACAGTTAATTAAAATACAATATCAGTTGAATTAGTTGTATGGTAGTTTAGATCCTTCATAAATTTGTAAATATAATTTTGTAATCTTAATAACAATAAAATATCTAAATAATATCCAAAATCTATAACAAGTTCTACAACAGTTTGCTGATAATTTATATTGAATCCGAATTCAATATTGAGTATCTTGAAGACCTAAATTTATGGAAACTTTGATTATATGCAATCATTTGTATATTGGGTTATTCTGTTGTATTATCATGATAATCATTCTTAATCATTATCTACCTCATATTTAAATAATAATAAATGAGATATATCAAACAAACACATCCAAACGATTCATATTCCCATATCTAATTCTAAATATATTCTTTGAATCTATTCAGTCATATTCGTCTATATATACCTATTTTCTTCTCATATCATCACAGAAACCATTGACTCCTCTGCATTCAATGCAAAGAAACAAACGTGTATATCCCATGGAGTTAGTTCGCAGTGTGTCTGATTTGCATGTAAACTCGACAAAATGGAGGATTTATGTTAAGATTATGTGTATGTGGGAACATGATTTGGGTTCTGCTGGATCTGAAACACTCATGATCTTGGCAGATGAAAAGGTATCAAGCTGTTGCTTCACTTTCTGTTTAGTTTTATCTTGCAATAAAACTATTTTTATGTTTCTCATACAAGTATTTTAAATGTTTTGGTTCTATAGGGTAGAAGAATCGATGCAAGGATTCCATCTGGGACATATCTTTGGAATTTTCGACCAGTACTGAAAGAAGGATTCTGGTTTCATCTCTCTGATTTCCAGGTTATCCAACCAGAGAATAGAATCAGATATTCACCATCTCTATTTGAAATCAGGTTTATCTGGGAAACAGGAATGTGGCCTGTGAAACAGAGATCATGGAGTAACTTCTTTGAGTTTGTTTTCCCTATTGAAGTCCAATATGCTATGGAATCGAATAAAGAAATTGTGACTGGTAGAGATTTCTTGAAATTTTTTTTTATGTGGAATCCATATATTTTTGATTACTGATTATATTTCGTTTATATTTCCATTTTTTGAGTTTAGATGCTATTGGTGTGATTGTTGCTGTCAATACTACTCGAAGATTTCCTTATGTTTGCCCTCGAGGAGGTTCAGACAATGAGTCAAGATTTGTGGCTTTTAAGATAAAGGACAATATGTAAGTTTTTCTCTTAATATGTTTTATTATATATGTAAGATCAAAGATGTTTTATGATATCTTAAAACATATAAACATAATGCTATTCATGAAATATTATTTAGGGGTGGAATAATTGAGTGCATTGCTGTTGGTATGTGTTGTGATTTCTTTATGACCAACTGGTCTGCTAAGGTCGACTTGGTTACTTATAATTATGAACCAATCGTGGCTGTTCTTCGCAACTGGAGAATTACAGAGTTTGATGGTTAGTTCTAAAAAATCTTTGTTTCCTTTTGTTAATTAGACTATCTTATGTGTTTGAAATAGTTAATATTTCTAAATTATATATTTTACAATGGTTCTATAGGAAGAAATGTCTTGATGAGTGAATTTGGTTGTTCCCGTTTGTACCTTGATCCAACTTTTCATGACTTGGATATTCCACAATACGTGTAAGTGTCATTTTTACCAATTATACAATTGACTATTAATGTTACAAGGAGACACACTAATTTGGTCTATGTTATTTCACAGTCGTAGCTTCACTGATGAAGATGAACATGAAGATGATGATGACTAAGAGAATCTGATGATGATGGAAGTTCCCTTGATGTTTTATTTTCATTGGTTTTATCTATTTAGGTTGTTATGATTCAAATTTCGGCTTGATAATTTTTTTATTTATGTTTCAAACAATGTTATCCTACATTTGCTATCAAGTTAATCTCATGAATTGCTCTATAACATTTTAATTTCATAACTCTTTATAATCTCCTTAACTCTTTATATTCCATTGGTTTGATGTTTTCTAAATTATTATCATAAGAGCTACTAAACGACAAAGTATATAGATTTCTTTTGATTTAACAGTTCACTCAAAATCTTCTCAAAACTAATCAAAAGCCTTTTGGAAAAATGTAGGTTCCCCAATATATAAAATATATTATTAGCTACTATCGAAATGATTTGTATTCATCTATACATATAATATAAATACTTCGTTGGGAAGTAAAACTAATAAAATCCTATACTGTAAAACAACAGTCATCATTCAAAACCGGATTTTTGGCTTTTGATATACCCAATGTCTATCATTTCTAGCTGACGTAAAACGTAAACAAAACACTTGAGTAGTTTTTTGAAAGGAATGTTATACTTATTAGTATTTGTTTAAATTATCAGAATCCAGACTATCAAAATTTTTAACCAACTTATATTTATTTTGTTTGCTTTCTAATTCTCTTCTCTTCCATTAACAAGACAACCGTGAAGTAAAACTAAACCTAAATGTCAAACTCTTCCTATCCCATGGATTTTGTTTCTGATTTGAACAACGAGAGAATGAACTGGAAGGTTCATTTAAAGATCTTGAGTATTTGGAATCTTCATTCCACACCAAATTCGAGTATGGTTACCAGCATGATTTTGGTTGATGAGAAGGTATGTGTTACCTATGAGTTATAGTTTATTTTTAGTTTTATTTGTTTTATCACAGACTTAGTTGTGGACATCTTACAATATCACAACTCTTATAAAATCTCTTATGTAGGCAAACAAAATCGATGCTATAATCCCAAATGGTCTCTACAGACACAATTTCAAAAAGAATCTCAAAGAAGGTGAATGGTACTTCATGTCTGATTTCAACGTTGTTCCCCAAAATCCCATTTCTAGATACTCTTGGCACCCTTTCATGATTCAATGTAAGTGGGAAACAAAAATGGTTCACATAACTCCTAGATCAATCAACAATTACATGGATTTCATTGATTATGATGAAATCAAATATGCTGGAACACAAGAAAAGGAGTATGTAACTGGTAAGTTCTATATACATAATTTAGATATATTGTCAAGAGTCATTAATCTGAATATATTTGTTTTCCTGTGTAGATGCTATTGGTTTGATAACAAGTGTGTCTCCCATTCGAACAGTGCCTTTTGTCTGTGGTATAGGACAAACTGATTATGAAGCAAGACATGTGATGTTCAAGATTAAGGACAATGAGTAAGTTTAGCTTCTCTTTTTATTATGTTTTCTGTTACATTAGAATTTTAGGAAGCTAGATTGTATTAACATGAATAATCTCTATGTTCTTTATATTTTTAGTGGCAAAAAGATGATATGTGTTGCAGTTGGAGAATCTTGTGAGATGTTTGTTAACAAATTGTCTACACGTTTAAGTTCTCTTAGCTACAACAATGATCCTATCGTGGCTGTTATGCGATTCTGGAGGATCTCAGAAATAAAAGGTCCTTAACTATATTGAATTACATTATTTCTATTAATTTGATCAAAAACTATATATGCATATTTATTTAATCTAAAACTCTCTTTGTTAATTCCTCTATAGGGTCACCTTGCTTAATGAGTGTAGCTGGCTGTTCAAGGGTTTTTATTGATGAACAATTTCCAGATTTCGATAACTACAGATACATGTAATTTCATACTTTATGGTTTTCTTATATTTTAATTAATATGAGATTAAGATAACTAATATTTCCTCTTTGCTTTTTATAATTTAGTCGATCATTTGCAATCGCCGAGGCAAATGATGATCAGATGGAGGAAGTGGATTCTAACTAAGACAAAGCTAGGAAGATAAAATTGAATCATCTGTTTTATCCGTTTGTACTTTGATATATTCCTGTTATCTCTTTTTGTTTTTTGTTATTTGACTCTCTTTTAATTTTAAGATTTGCAGAGACTTTTAATTATGTTTAAATGTACTTTGCCAAAAATCATTTGCATTGTTATGAACTTATATCATTCGTGAATATGATGGACCTTTAATGTCAGTACGTTACAACTTAAATAAGTTACTGAATAGTTTTTTTTTTGTTAACCAAATAATCTTTCTCTTATAATCTGTTATGAACTATATTGGAAATGAAAATACTAAAAAAACTGTTTTCCAATGCAAAGATTTTAAAAAGTTGAAGCATTGTGATTCTATATATTCTATATTGAATGTATTATTTGTTTCGTAAACCCCCCCTCTCACCCTCTCCCCCTCTCCCCCCATTCTTACAAGTTTTAAGCTTATTTGATATTGTATTTTAAGCTTATATTAAGTTTCTGAGATGTCATAGAAAACATTAATTTTGAAAACCAAAAAAGCTGTTAACTTTTGCCAATACATCAATCATATGCAATGGTCAAGTTTTGCAAATTGGTTGTCACATATAATGTTTTGTTTTCTCTACTTTAGTAATATATAAAAATCATTTTTTTGGCTTTTCTAAATTGTTGCTATTGGTCATGCAATAGGTTTGGCCTTTTCAAGATGTGTATAAATATATATATTGATTTCTACATATATCACATTCAAGTTCTCCCAAGAGTTTCCACAAACAAAAAAATTTCTAGCTTTCATCCTTTTCAGCCGATTACTCTAATCTTTTTCAAATGAAAATTTTTTTAACTGATTTAACTCTTGAGAAGAAGGCATGGTTTGTCGTTGTTAAGATCTTGAGCATTTGGAATCATCCTCCCAAGCATCCTAATGATCACACTACCATGATTTTGGTAGATGAAAAGGTATATGTTATTTTCTCCTTTTTATATCATTTTTTATATAGATTTATTATAGATAATGAGGGAGACAAATCTTTTTAACGTTTTATATTTCAGGGTACCAGAATTGATGCTGTTGCTCCTCCAGATTCATACAAGAGGGATTTTCCTAGAAATCTCAAAGAAGGAAAGTGGTACTTTCTTTTGGATTTTGATGTGATCCCACCTTCATCCCATGAAAAGAACTCTAATCATCCTTACCAACTTTCTTTTAATAAGAAGACAACTATGGCTTACTACAAAAAGAAATACACTTCCGAATTCCTGCAGTGTCTTGATTTTCCAAGGATCAATAATCCATCAGAAGAAGAGAAGCAATTCGTTGTTGGTAAGATTCTGGATTAGAGTTTCAAATTTTTTTTATTATTTTTTATTTACTCTTATATCCTAATTTTTGACTTATTCCCATATTTAGATGTTGTTGGAGTGGTTAGGAGTGTCTCTCCTATTGGAAGACTACTTGAAAGAGGGAGTGATTTGGATTCAAGCTATGTTACTTTTACATTAAAGGACCTTGCGTAAGTTTTATTGGAAAATCAATATAGTCTACGTCTATATGAGTTGTATTAGTTAACAGATTTTCAAAAGTGTCATTATATTTTTATTATGTATCATTACATGTAGTGGCCATTCCATTAATTGTGTTGCAACCGGAAGTTTCTGTGAAGAATTTGTTAGGAAGTATTCTAACAGAATAAGTGATGTGAATTATCACAATCAACCAATCATGGTTGTTCTGCGTTTTTGGAGGATATCAGAGTTTGGAGGTGATGTTCTCCAAACTAATTTTATGATTCCTAATCCATATTTGACTGTATTATGGATTACTGTATCCATATATAGCCAACAAATTTCAGTACATACTAATTATGGTATTTTTGTGTGTTTTTAGGTAAACCTTGCTTGATTACGAAAGGAGGTTGTCCAAGAATTTTCATTGATGAAAATTTCTCTGATATTAACAGAGACTGCTACATGTATTTCCACAGTCTATATGAAATTTAAATTGGTTTATTTATACATAAGTTTTATATTCTTATGTTAGTTATATTTATTCTCGCAGCTGCTTTTTCACTGCTGGAAATACAGAAACAACATCCTCAGATAATGACAATGTTTCTGATGAAGACGGTGATTCTAACTAAGATTTGCAGCTGTGTGGATGGCATCAAGAAAATTCCTCCTATGTTATATTCTATCTTGGACTTCCTTTAATGCTTTGTTTGTTAACTTTTTTTAATCAATGTGCTATTTCCCTATTTGTAAAATTAGACTCTTATGTTCAGTTGTTTTAAATTTTGCTTATCTGTGTTTTACTTTTATTGTGCTTAATTCGTAAGCTTTCTGTGAAAAAGCTTTGCTTAAATAGAGTATTAGCACAATATATGGAATATCTTTTTTTCATGTTAACTATGTTTATAAATTTCAGAGTACATTAAAGAATTTTTTATATTGAGCAAAATTTACTATAATCTGATCCTTCTGAGTGACACTAACCTCAATAATAAAGGTTGATGATCTGAGATCCTTGCTCCCTATTGTTTGGTATTCTTATAATCCAATATCCTGTGTATCACAAAAGTATAGATTTAGTTAGTAACAGATAAGATAGAATATTAACTTACTCAAACAACTTAATTTAGTAAGAGATATGGAATATCTTGAGATATCTAATATTATATACTTCTCCTATCGTCGATTATAAGGATTGTTGGTTGAGAGTTATTCCTCCAGCTCAAATGCAAAAACACTTAAACATCAAAAATTTTTGGACTTTTGAAGGAATGTCATAGGAAATACGCTACAGAGTATTTGGAAAGCCATTACATCCCAAGGTATTCATATTTTGATAGCCTATCATAGAGCTACTTAAATTTATTATCCTCTCTATAATTTTAGTATATCTAATTGGTTTGCAAACTATTGATGTTTTATAGCAAAACCTTTTATGTTCAACAGGAAACCAAGTCATAATGGAAAAAAACGATAATACACATGGTCTAAGTTCTTCTGAAGTCACTCCAACTCCTAAAAGAAAAAGAACAACATCTAATGTACTTGGTGAAAATTACGTTCCACCTTCAGCAGAAAGCCATACCAAAACTGCTGTTGCAATAAACTCTGTATTTAGAAGAGTTTTAACAGATATATCTAACTCACCACGCAATAGCTCTGGACTATCAGCATCTGACCAAATAACTTTTTCATGTTCCACTGCAAGAGGCCAGGAAAATGTTTCAAACAATCCATATCAAGCTCCTTCTTCTAAAAAAGCAAGAAATCTCTCCCCTATTCCATGTAAGTCATATTCTTCATTGTTGTTTGACAGTCTAAAGATATTATATGTAATATTTTAATGATTCAAATTAAGCTAACAGGATAAATCTTATTCAAAGTGTCAGGAAGTCTATTCAATAAATCTCAGCTAACCTCAACAATAATCGATGATTCCTCATATCTTGCTGAATCTTCTTATTCGCAAAATGATGATATTTCCGGAGCTTCTGCGGCAGATCACAGAAACAAAGGTAAATTTTCATGTTAGAATGCATTTTTTTTGAATAATGGATCCAGATTTCATATATAACAAATCCATGTTGCTATTTGTTCATACTAACTATCCATATTTTATCGTCTAATTTGTATCAGATAATCCTTCAGGATCCGTGTTAACATTACAAAAGGATTCTGTTACTGATGATTTCCTTGATTCTCATCATGATTTTATTGAGGATAATGATCTCAATACAGATACAGATGAAGATGATCATTTCTCAGATTATCAAGACTCCACAAAAGGTCAGAGAAATTTTTAAAATATCATACTCAAGCAGATATTCTTATTTCTAATGTCCAAATAATAACAGGAGAATATGAAGACAACTACCAAGAAGATTTGTATTGCAGCAGTCAAGAAGAATTATCTACGGATTCTTCATCAGATGAAGATGACTATGCTAAAGAATGTGCTTATAACCCGAAAGAAGCAATTCATCGAGCTAAAGAACGTTTTGACATACTTACTATGTTAGAAAATGCTTTTGGTAAACCTAAGGAAACCCCTGTCATTCCACCTAAGCAAAAAAATGGTATTATTCCAATTTTTGTAATATATTGTTGAATAACAAATAGAATTGTTATAGTAAGATCTAACTATATTTGATTATTTTTTATTCAGCTTATGTTGATGAAGGTGATCCAATCTTTAGTTGTAGCGAGTGTGGTGCTATTTTTTGGTATGGGGAACGCCTAAACAAGAGGAGCAAAACAAAAAATCCAAAGTTCTCAGGGTGTTGTATGCAAGGACAGATAGTCTTACCTTTCCTAAAGGAATCGCCTGAATTGTTGTGGTATTTGCTAACCAGTAATGATGAAATCGCTAGACATTTTAGGGAAAACATCAGAGCTTACAATATGATTTTCTCATTTACTTCTATCGGTGGGAAAGTGGATCATTGTGTTCCTAAAGGTCGTGGGCCTCAGATGTTTGCAATACAAGGTGAAAATTACCATCTCATGGGTGATATGAAGCCAAAACCAGGAAACAAAGCAAAGTTTCAACAGCTGTATATTGTTGATACTGAAAATGAGATTGACAATAGATATAACATTATGAGGTATCTTCTCTGTTAATCTCTTTTTATTAGAAACATAATATTGAGTTTTTCTATAATCTAATAAGTTTATATATTTTTCAGTAAAGAGGGTGAATCTGCCACGGGCCAGAAAAAGAAAAATTTGAACAAAGACATCATTGAAAGTATCATCAAGCTTTTAGATGATATAAACCCTCATGTTGAAGCGTTTAGATCAGCAAGAGACAGATTCAATACAGATTCAGAAGACACTTTTCACATGAGAATTATTGCCAAGAGAAATGATGATGGAAGGACATACAATCTGCCAACAGCATCTGAAGTTGCAGCATTAATTCCAGGAGATTTTCATGAAAATATGGATAAACGTGATATCGTTTTACAGAAGAAAAGTTCAGGGAAGTTAAAAAGAATAAGTGAACTGCATGTTTCCTATCTAGCACTACAATATCCTCTATTATTTCCACACGGGGAAGATGGTTTTAGAGTTGGTATACTGAAAGCTAAGACCAACAGCAAAGGGAATGCTCAAAAGGAACAGAAAGAAGTAAGTATGAGGCAGTGGTTTGCTTATCGTCTTCAAGAAAGGAAACAGGAGAAACATGTTTTGTTTCGCTCTAAGCGCTTGCTTCAGCAGTTCATTGTTGACGCTTACACTATGATTGAGTCAAACAGGCTGAGATATATTAGGAAGAATCAAGCCAATTTTCGGAGCTCTAACTTAGATTCAATCCAAAGGAATTCAAATGCTGGAAACGATGATTTGCAAAACCAAGGTAGAGAATTGAAGATTCCAGCTTCCTTTACTGGCGGACCAAGGTACATGACAAACAATTATTTGGATGCAATGGCTATTTGCAAACACTTTGGATTTCCATCACTATTCATAACGTTTACTTGCAATTCAAAGTGGCCTGAAATTGTTAGATTCTGTAAAGAGAGGAACCTGAAGTCTGATGATAGACCAGATATCATATGTAGGATTTTCAAGATGAAGCTTGATAATCTTATGTATGATCTAACCACCAAGAGTCTGCTAGGAAAAACAGCTTCAGGTATTTTTTAAACCTGTAGCTGTTATTTATATTATTAGTATCTGTGTTTTGAATTTACCTCTAATCTTTTTTATGTTATGTATTTTTCAGCAATGTACACAATTGAATTTCAGAAAAGAGGTCTTCCGCATGCACACATTTTGTTGTTCATGCATCCCACCAGTAAGTTGTCTACCGCCGAAGACATTGATAAAGTGATATGTGCTGAGATTCCAGATAAGAAAAAGAAACCAGAACTTTACCAAGTGGTTAAAGATTGTATGATTCATGGACCATGTGGTGCTGGTCATCCGAATTCACCATGTATGGTGAATGGACAATGCTCTAAGTTTTTCCCCAAAGACTATTCCAACATTAGTAGGGTTGATAATGATGGCTTTCCAGTTTACAGAAGACGTAACACTGGTACTTATGTCGAGAAGAATGGTTTTCAATGCGATAATCGTTACGTAATCCCATATAATGAGAAGCTATCCCTTCGTTATCATGCTCATATCAATGTTGAGTGGTGCAACCAATCAGGGTCAATAAAGTATCTGTTTAAGTATGTTCATAAAGGACATGACCGTGTCACAGTTACTGTTGAGCCAAGTGACCCGGCTGCTGCTAAGAAAGATAAGGACGAAGTCCAGGATTACTTTGATTGCAGGTTTATTCATTAATACTTTAATTAGTTGTATATATATAGTCTGATTGTGATTATACATCACTTTGTTAATGGCAGTTTCTTATTACAATTTGAACAGGTACGTATCTGCTTGTGAAGCTATATGGAGAATTTTCAAATTTCCCATACATCATCGAACAACACCAGTTGTTAAACTTTACTTTCATGAAGAAGGAAAACAACCAGTCTTTTACAAACCAGGTGAAACCAAAGAGAGTGTTATGAGTCGATTAAGCAGTGAAGCTACTCAATTTTTGGCGTGGTTTCAGCTTAACAAGAATCCTCCAAGTAGAAAAGTCCGTGCTAATGCGAAAAAACCGCCAAAGCCTGCTCCTGATCCAACCAAGCTCTTATTTGAAGAAGTTCCAAATCACTTCACTTGGAACAGCAAAGAAAAAAAATTTGTGATCAGAGATAGAGGATTTGCTATTGGAAGGATTAACTTTGTTCCACGTACAATAGAGGATGCTTATTATTTGAGAATCCTCTTAAACATCAAAAGAGGTGCTACAGGATATAAAGATCTCAAAACTGTGAAAAGTGTTGTTCACGAATCCTTCAGAGATGCGGTTTTCGCTTTAGGATTGCTAGATGATGACAAAGAGTATATCAAGGGTATCAAAGATGCAAATTTTTGGTGCTCTGCAAAGTATGTTCGGAGGCTATTTGTCATTATGCTACTTTCAGAAAGTTTAACGAAACCAGAGAAGGTATGGGAGGAAACATGGAAGATTTTATCAGAAGATATTGAGCGCAGAAAAAGAAGAGAATGGCAACGACAAGGTTTTGTAGTAGTATCTATATATTCTATTTGGAACTATCATATACAACTTTTATTTTACTAATTTGAATGATTAGCAGTTAATATATTGATGGTGAGTAACTTTATTTTGTTGGTATGTTTTTGTAAATGTTGCAGATCTCCATCTAAGTGATGAGGAGAAACAGGAATTTTGTTTGCAAGAGATAGATAGGCTGCTAACAAAAAATGGAGTTTCACTTACAAAATGGAAGCAGATGCCACAAGTTTCATCGGAAGACGTTGAAAAATGCAATCATTTTCTATTGGATGAACTCAAGTACAACCGTGCAGAATTGAAAGAAAAACATGAAGAATGGTTGGCTAAGGTGACTCCAGAACAAAAGAAGATATATGATGAGATTATGAATGCTGTGAATCACGATACAGGCGGAGTGTTTTTTGTTTACGGCTTTGGAGGTACTGGAAAAACTTTTCTTTGGAAATTATTGTCTGCTGCTATTAGATCAAAAGGGGACATATGCTTAAATGTCGCTTCTAGCGGTATTGCTGCTCTGCTTTTAGATGGCGGTCGAACAGCACACTCCAGGTTTGGTATTCCTTTAAATCCCAATGAGGCGTCTACATGTAACATTTCACGTGGATCAGATCTTGGTGAGTTGGTTACCCGGGCAAAGTTAATTATTTGGGATGAAGCTCCTATGATGAGTAAGCATTGCTTTGAATCTTTGGATAGAACTCTGAGAGATATTATGAATAATCCAGAGGACAAGCCTTTTGGCGGTAAAGTTATAGTTTTTGGAGGTGATTTCAGACAAGTGTTACCGGTTATCAATGGTGCTGGTAGAGAGGAGATTGTGTTTGCTGCGCTTAATTCTTCTTATATTTGGGAGCATTGCAGATTTTTGGAGCTAACAAAGAATATGAGACTTCTTGCAAACATTAGTGACCTTGAAAAGCGGGAAATAGAGGAATTCTCAAAGTGGATACTAGATGTTGGAGATGGCAAAATTGCCACAGCCTAATGATGGAATTGCTATGATTGACATCCCAAAAGAGTTACTTATAACTCGGGATAAAGATCCAATCGAATCCATCATCGATGCAGTTTATGGAAATACCTTTATGGTGGAGAAAGATCCTAAATTTTTTCAAGGTAGAGCTATTCTCTGTCCTACTAATGAGGATGTCAACAACATAAATGAGCATATGCTGAGTATGTTGGATGGTTAGTTAACTTTTACCATTCCTTATTTATTTTTTTCAGATGAATATGATACAATTTCAATACAAGCTTATATCAAATTTGCATCCATATTCATTCTGTTTTTAGGTGAAGAGAGAATTTACCTAAGTTCTGATAGTATAGACCCTTCAGACACAAGTGCTGCGAATGATGTCGCATATTCTCCTGATTTTCTGAACAGTGTTAGAGTTTCTGGATTGCCAAACCATTGTTTGCGTGTGAAGATTGGTTGTCCGGTCATGCTACTCAGAAACACGGATCCTAATAAAGGTTTATGCAATGGGACAAGATTACAGGTCACTCAAATGGCAGACACGGTAATTGAAGCTAGAGTTATCACAGGTAACAAAGTTGGTAAGATTGTTCTGATTCCTAGAATGCTCATCACACCATCAGATGCCAGATTGCCTTTCAAAATGAGGCGTAGGCAATTTCCTCTATCTGTTGCTTTTGCCATGACCATAAACAAGAGTCAAGGACAGACACTATCTTCCGTTGGACTTTATTTGCCTAGACCTGTTTTTTCACATGGTCAACTATACGTGGCAATCTCTAGAGTGTCGTCAAAATCAGGTATGAAGATACTTATATCCAGAATATGACTGTTTAAATTATGTATAAGATTATTAATTTTACCCTTATATCAGGTTTGAAGATTCTTATAACAGACAAGAAAGGTAAGCCACAGAGTAAAACAATGAATGTAGTTTATAAAGAAGTCTTTCAAAACCTTCACTAAAGACAGTCATGGAAAGAATCTAAAAGAGTTCCAATTCGACTAGGTAAATATGTTAACTAATCATAATGGTTTTCTTCATTCTTATAGACTAGAGTAGAAGTTGTTTTTATGACTGATGACATTATGTTGTTTTCTATTTTCATTTTCTACAACTTTTCAGCATCAAAACAAGGAATTGAAAGGATGAAGTATACTCAGGACGTGTTTAAAGGGATAAGAGTATGAAAACCATTCTTCTGCATTTGAAGAAGCAACAGCATTAGTTTTAAAGTTTTTCATTTTTTGGTTTTTCTTTCATTTATTTACCAGACTCGAATTTAGATTATAGAACTTTTTCTTCTTCTAAACAAATGAATGCCATCACTCTGTTTAACTCAGTATATCGATTTTACAATTCTATTATGAATTCAATATTCTAATCTACATGTTTCAAAATCAAATGTTTCATTTGTTACCAAATCTAAAAAACGATTCATGCATCAATCAGTTCAATAACATATAGATCAATTTGTTTAACTAATAAACAATAGTGGTCATTATCAATTACCTGGACATTTATGTGTTTGTCTACTGTTGCAATCAGCTGTTCTTGAATTGCATGCTGAAGTAGATCAACCGTGTTTAGATTCATCGCTGATCTTCTTCTTCACAACTCATTGAAATCGACAATTTCATTATCGAGAATTTTATTCAAATCTGCAATCAGCTATTGCATAATTTGTTGTTTCTTAAATCGATATAATCATCAATCAGCTCACGAACTTAATTAATCGATTTCTGTAACTTATAAACAAAATCGTTCGGTTTGAATTTTACCTTTGATCACCACTCCGACGTGCTTCAATTACTCGAAATATATGAACGGATTGGGCAAGAAATTCAATCTGTGTTGTCTTTGAGGTCGAATTTGAAAAAATTTGGGTAGAATTCGACATTAGTTTTCTGGGATTAACTGTCTGAAATTTCCCGTTTGCCGATCTGTTTTTTTTTTGTTGTTGTTTTTTTTTTTTTTTTTTTTTAAACAAACAAACTGGGCCAAATAAACCCAAAATAGCCCACTAAACAACTCAGACCAATACAACAATTTCTTTTTTATATCTAATTATCAATTACTACTTAACTAAATAAATTGTTAATCTTATAAAACAAAATACAAATCTAATGCAACTAAATATATTCAATTCTAAGATAATATATACTACATCATTTTATTAGCAATTCATGTCTTCAACCAAATTAAAATTCATGTAGTGTTAAACAATATAAATTAAAGTAACCAACTATTATAAGGAAAATATATCTAAAATAAATTTTATAGTATTATTTACTTCTACAATCAAAATATACAAATTATCGTCAAATAACTACTACACAATATAATATCCAAATAGTAATAAACATAAAACTATATGATTAATTCCCTTTTATACTAAACTATTACACTATGTTATTTTTACATATTTCAAATTAAATGAACAATATATTTCAAAAAAAAATAATAAAACCCCGTGCTATACAGCACGGGTCATGATCTAGTACTCCTACATAAACAGTAGGAGAATTAACCAAACCAAAGCATGACAATATTGACCAGGTGGAATTAAAAATTTAGCTGCTTTTTACTTATGACACAATCAAATAAATTTTATTGACACTAAAAGCAGGCTCGGCTCTTGGAGTGTGCTGAGTGTGGAAGAGCACAGGGTTCTATTTTTTTATTTATTTTTTCTTGGTATTTTAGGGTCCAAAATATTCAAATAATTACAAAATAGAGTCTAAGTTTTTAATTGTTAAACATTTAGGTCATCATATAAAAAACATTTGCAACATAGCACAGTGCCCAATAATATTTTGAGTCGGCCTGACTAAAAGCATAATAATATTCTAGCGATAATAAACCTATATAAACTATAATTATTAAATAAAATAAATCAAACGATAGAAGCATGGTTCACTAAGCGACAACCGATCAAACAAACCGATAAACCATAAACTATATACCGATCGAATATAAAGCATGTGGTGACTTATCTTTCAGAATGAAACGTATGTTTAGAGGGATCAGAGCTCAAAATCGAAGATGGAGTTGAGATGTTAGAAAACGGGTAGGATTTTGATAGAAATTTATTTTTAACTCAAGCGGCTAGGTGTCGATAACGTGTTGTGAACAAATAGGTTTAAGAATTTGTTTTTTTGTTATTGATAGATTCCATAAGATACACGATATATATATAGGAATTAAACATTAGATTTTATGTTAGAGATCACATCTTCTATAACCTTCTAGACTCTACTAATGGACCTATAATGGACATCCATACAACTACAACATTATTCTTTTTTTTTTTTTGATCAACCAACTACAACATTATTCATGTAAAGAGACTATATTATTATTATCTTGATGTATTATATGATGATTATAAAGCAATTAAATATCAAATAAAAATGATTAAGAATCATAATTTTAAATGTTAATAAAATCTTTTAAATATATAGATTATTAATTGTGAAAATATTATATATGCTGATTTTATAATTAATGTTAAAATCTTTTAATTGTATTTGGTTGTATGAATAGTAAAAATTTAATGGTAAGGATTGTTTGAATATAAAAATATAAATATTTTTATTTTAATAATATAAATATTTTGTATATAAGTTGGGTATTGTGGACAAATTAAATGGCTAAAATATTTGACTATTTACAAGTTTTAAAATTTTCGGAATTTCTTCTTTTTTTACTAGGCTAGCAAACGCGCTTGTGGTGCTCACAACGTCAAACCAACTATCCTCATCCTTGGACCGTCTCAACTACCAAAGATTCAGAAAGAACCTCAACAACTTCCTTGTTTAAAATTGTAATTTTTACAGTCATATTCTTTACTAATCAGTTATAAAATTTATACGATCAAAGTCTTTAAAGCAAAAGTTTCTACAGCGAAAGCTTTTACAGTCAAAGTCTCTACATGGATAATTAAAAGTCGTTACCATTTACTTGTTTGGGTTGTAAAACGATTTGTTTGTTTGGGTTGTAAAACGATTTACTTGGTAGAAGTGGTTTTTTTCGTTTGTAACAATTAAATTTTACTTTAACAAATGCTAACTCAAGAATAATGTTTTATCATCTCTGATATGAATATAAAAGATGTAGTTTAGTAAAAAAGTACTGAATACACAAAATTATGTGAGCAGTCCATAAAACAATATGTACGATAGTGATAATGTTAAAAAATACGTTATCATTGAAGTCCTTGGGTCAAAAAATTTCTTTTCGTTAAAAAGGCTTTGCATTTAGTCAAGTTACAATTTATTTTAGAAATCCTCTTTGACAACTTGTAAATTTGTTACAACTTACAAGTTATACTAGAGTTGTATAGTGTATATTGTTTGTCTATAAGAATAAGATCATAGAAGTTTTTCGAGTTATTTTATTTGTATTGTTACATTTTTTTAGTGTCATAATTAGTCAATAGTTGTTTTTAAAATTTTTTTATCATTTCTATTTTTTTAATCATGAATTTGATATTAAAAAAAAAATTGGTTATGTTTTGCTTATTTTTCTTCTTATGTTTTGCTTAAATATATATATATATATATATATATATAATAATAATAATAATAATATATCTATAAAACAGCCACTTCCATCGAAATCCAAAACTAGAGAAAAATTGAAAGGCTAATTTTATCACATTTAAATCTATTACTTTTGGCATTTTAGAAAAAAACAAGAAAAATTTGCACTTCTAATTCTTTCAATGATTAAATAATTTACATCACCTTTATTAGGATTATCTGGATCTAGTTATTAAATTATGAAGGCCAAAAATATATTGGTCTTAGTGCCTTAGAGGCCTACTTTCATACATAACATGTGATGTAAATAATCTTGTATACATTTTTTTTTTATATAATCTGATATACTTTTAGTGGACACAACAATATGCAATCGCATATGTGGATAACCAACCACACATTTACGGAACCAAAGCTACGATTATTGTATGGGATCACCGGACGACTTCAGTTTAGCTTAGGAAATAACGAGACCAACGATCTCAACACGATCGAGGCGGGTTGGCACTTGGCAAGTAAGTTTTAAACATTAACAATTGCATTTATTTTTTTCCATGCATCAAAACATTATCAGAATTATGTACGCAAATGACTAAACATAAAATCATATTATTCATGATTTAGGTTTTCCCCAACAGGTATGGTGACCACCCACCAAGACTTTTTACGTATTGGACGGTATGTTTGATCTCCCTATCAATTTCATCTTTCGATTTTGATTTTATAATATCTATACTAGTATAATTGCAGCACTTTTTGTGACGGGTGGGTAAAAAAGCTTTCGGTTATATCGGATATCCGACCCATTTTAAAAATTCCTTCACAAAATTTTTTTGAGTCGGATTATATTTAACCCAACTCATACACCGGATATTCCATATTTAATAATTTAGATTTTTAGAAGATTTGATTAAGATTTATAATTATGATTCTCCTATCATCTTTGTTTGATTTTTTTTAACTGTTTTGAATCATCATATAATACATAAAGTAAAAAAAAAATCAATTTTTTTTCTTCATATACTGTGATTCGAAATTTTAAAAACGGACATATATTATCCAATTGACGAAAATGTGTGTTCAACGTTCTACATCGATTAAAATATTTAGACAATGATTCAGAATCATATCATAAATAAGAACATCAATAAAATAAATGAGTTTTTTGGCGGGATGGGTTTGGCGGGACGGGTTTTTGAATCAACAATAATAAAAAGATTAAAATATCATTAATCTGCCGCTTCAATACGGATTTAATCCTTATTTTTTTTAATACAAATCACAGGACGGGTTAAGAAACTACGGAACGGGTTATATTTCGGAAATGATTTATATGGCGGACGAATTTGAATCAATATTTATATACCGCTTTAATACGGGTTAAATCCTCAGTTTATTAATAATTATCTCGTGGACTCGTGGTATACCGTTACTTAATAACAATTGTAAACTATAATATAAATAAATATGTTATAAGGAGATACAATTTACAAAATATTTTTATACTAACTTTAAAATTAAATCATCCCGCGGTGTACCGCGGGTTAAAATCTAGTTATCAAGTATCATAAGTACACATGGCCCATCATATTAATAACATTTTTTAGTGTCGTAATTACTCAATAGTTGTTCTTTTTTTTGTTTTAAATATATCATTTCTATTTTTTTAAATCATGATTTGATATTAAAAGAAAATTGTCTTACTTTTTTTTTGTTAAGTTTTGCTTAATTTTTGCTTCTTTTTCTTCTTAGCTTTTGCTTAAATATATATAAATAAAACAGCCACTTCCATAAAAATCGAAACTAGAGAAAATTTTGAAAGGCTGATTTTAAATATTTAAATCTATTATTTTTGGTATTTTAGAAATAACAAAAAAAATGCACTTCTAAGTTTTTCAATGATTATATCACCACTTTCAGAATTATCTGAATCTAGTTATAAGATTAGAACATACACAAATACGCAACCAATAGAAGACAATTATTCGGATTGCAACTTTCTAAAAAAAACATAAAATATATGTTTTAGTTTTTAAAAAAATAACGAAAACTTGCGATAAAAAGACAGAACCATTCACAAGTGCAAAAGGAATTTATTGGGATTGTTATTATTATTAGATTATTTGTATGTTATTTTTTCCTATATTCTTATGTTTTGCTACAAAAATTCTTAGATTTTGCTAATTAATGGTCAACTTTTAAAACTATATCAATAATTCATGCTAGCACAAGAAATTCCCTCCTCATGGTTTCATTCTAAACATGCGGTTTCTTAATTGCATGTAAATGCCGCATATCTGAAAAAGAGAATAGTCTCAGAATAAGAATGCACTTAATAGTTTTATGAAAATTCAACATGAGGCAAACAATCTTACCAAGTTTCAAGTTCTTATTAATCAATGCCCGCAAAAGAGTAGATAAGGTTCTATTAACTATTTCTGTTTGTCCATCAGTTAGAGTGTTACATGTAATAGAGAATAAGAGCTTAGTCCCTAATTTAGACCATAGAGTTTTCCAAAAGTAACTTAGAAACTTAGTGTCCCTGTCCGAAACTATAGTCCTAGGCATGCCATCCAAATGGACTACTTCATTAAAGAACATATTAGCAATGTGCAATGCACCATCAATTTTGTCACAAACAATGAAATGTGCCATTTTAGAGAATCTATCAAAAACCGCAAAAAATGAAACTTTACCAATTCTTGTCTTAGGCAATCCAACCACAAAGTCGATTAATATATCATTCCAAGGATGCATAGGGATAGCTAAAGAAAGTGATCTCATAAATCTAAGGTTCAACCCTATTGGCAGAGCCGGCCCAATACTATGGGCTGCCTAAAATCCAAAAAAGTTATTTTGCCCACAAATAATAAAAATATAGCAAAATGTTGCTTGAGAGGTTCAAACCCGGATCATGAGAAAGGGTAAAATCCGGAACAGTCATTTTACTAATTTGATGCCCTTAAAATCTTATATATATTTTGGCCCCTAAAACCTTTGCTTGTTGGGCTTTAGGTCAGGGTCGGTCCTGCCTATTGGCCACACATGAGAAGGATGTTGAAAGAATTTGAGACGGATGCGTTACTTGCGTTAGTAACCACTTAATCAGTACTTATTTATTTTTTAGTAAAAAATCAAGGGTTGGTATTTATACACGTTACAGTAATGAATCGTGTTTTCAAATTCAGCATGTAGTTTGTTTACCAAAAAAAAAAAAAAATTCAGCATGTAGTTAAACTAGTTTACATTTCAATTTAACCGCGACTTGATATTTTTCGTTTTTGATAGTCAACTCAACTATATAAGTTAATTTTTTAACTAAAATTGTTGTATGTTTGCGGAAGCGAAGGTAGGCTGGCCTGAATTGCTTCCGTACGTCCACTTCTTCTCTCATAGATGTTACTGGTTTCACTCTAGTGATTTTTTTTTTTTTTTTTTTTTTTTTTTTTTTTTTTTTTTTTTGTTTCACTCTAGTGATAGTGACCATGTTATGCTCAAATCAGCATCCATATTTGGGGAATTGATCGTACTACGTAAATAGTTGGCGGTTTGTTCTTGCTTATCTTATATCACATATATTTGTTACCTAGTAATGTTTTCGCCATTTTGGTTTACTTAATTCAGGAAAGAAAAAAAAAGGATAGCGAAAGAAATCACTAGAGAGTCTTGGCACAAAACTATCCCGAGACGCCCAGTTCATATGGTTTGAAAGTTGAAACATGACTAGCAATATCAAGGATTTCTGGCACAACTGTGTTTGTGGCTAACCCAACTTTTGGTAACATCTCAAACCTCATTGTTAAGCTCTTTAAGTATCCAATGTGTTTGAAACAATGAACAAATTGAATTGCAATGTTGAGGGGGTACAGCTGATTAGACATACCTCATAGTTTCTAAAGACGATTGGCTACGAAAATATGGCAACATGTTTTTCTGGAAAGACAACTCAACATGGAAGACGAGCATTTCTATTTCAATTTTAATCGATCTTTCTTTTATGCCTTACTTGTTAACAAAAATGTCTTGACACACCAATTGGGTCTCCAGATCAACCACACACCTGTGATGAAAATTTCATCCTAAATGTGAATGCAAATGCGAATGCTGCTTTAAATCCGCCGATACCTTAAGCCTCGACATCTCCTGTTTCATATGCTCTTGGCTTTCTTTCTAGCTCCCGTATCTTCTTCAACAGCTCCTCAGTGTTGTTTTGTTTTATTTAGTTAGTACAAATTGAAATTTGGGATTGCAGGAATGGTAAATAGAGTTTTTGTATCTAGTTAAGAGCATGATAGAGGGTTATGAGGGTAAAGAGCCTATAAAAAGTGTCCACTTGACACAAAGTGAGTCAAAGTGTGAAACAACACTTTCAAAAGTGTCTGAATGTACATAAACCAACTATAAATGGGGATTAGATAGCTGGATATTTACTTAAAGAGTACCCACACATGCTTTTGGTGTCTTTCTACAAGACACAAGGATAGTTTACAGCAGGAACCTAACCCAGTAACAACTCGGAAACAGCCGATATCTAAAAGTCGTTAGCTTTCCTTCGCAGTTCGTTTAACTCATTCTCGATCTCTGAGTCTTTGAAAGGGTATCTCGTGCTTGCTGCAACGGTGCTTCTCCCTGGAGGAAGCTCTCCTTTCTGCGCAACAGAGGATAACTATGAGTATGTTTTACAAACTCTTAACTCAGAGTGAAGTAAAATGTTAGTAGCAAAGTAGGATATAGTCAAACATGAAATAAGGGAGTAAGGTAAAAATGGAAGTAATTTGAGTTTGAATTGTTGATTTCAGTGTTCATAGGAACCATCCCAACTTGCTGAACCCATCTGTCTTTTCAGACGGTAATTTGCAATATGGTAGCTTGTGGACATGATATTTTGGTGAGTGATGAGATTATATACTCCAAGGAGCTAATATGATAATCGACGTTTTACAAACCTTTGAGCTTCCGGACAATTCTTTCTTCAAGTTCGCAAGATCATCATCCACAGATGAAGTTTCAAGCATTTGAAACTGCAAGTCACAAAGAAATACACGTTAATGTCAAGATGATTGTATATATACAAGTTCTTCCAACCAACAAACAGACAGTAAACCAGATTAGACCATCCTCTCAGTCATAGAAATAGAAGATATTAGATAAAGCAGCGAACCCTAATAAATGCAAGATTTTACCTCTGAAACAAATTTAAAAGAGAAAGAAAGATTCTTCTCCTCATAGAAATACAAAGACAAGAGATAGACAACCAACCTTCCCCTCGAGTTCATCGGTTCCAATCTGAGTTAGTGCATCTGCTTCAGACTCCATAGCCATCACTGTCAAGCACTTTCTAGATTTTAGTCTCTACTAATGAGCATACATCAAAAAGCAGAAAGTAAAGTCTTTCACAATGAAAAATTCCAACTTCAGACTTCTGATACTAGCAACTCAGAGATTTACAGAAAGAATAAGAGGGGTATATCTGCACGGACTAACATTAATCAACCAGAACCTAAATGAATTGCTAGAAATAGCAAAAAAAAAGTTATCCAGTGTGATTTCTCTCTTGTACCTAAACAAGAAAGGATTCCACTAAGTTTATCTTTTACTCCGACGTCACATTGCACACATTATATTACTGTTCTATTGTTTTGCATGAGGTAACTACAACACTAATTCCACATCCACGTCGCCCAGAATCTGAGCCCTATTTCTCATGGCACCCCATCGCCTAGGTCTGAAGTAGTACAAGCTAACAGAGAGAAAGTAACACATCTATGAAAAAAGGTGGCCTCTCAACTCACTTTCAGAGACTGAATGGTAATCCTAACTACAGGCCAAACTTCAAATTTAGAAACGAATAGTAGGACTAATTGCTGTTGGTTACGCATAGACAAGTTTTTATAAGTTTTGTTCAAGTTGGAGGATCAATAGATCATACCTTTCTCCTCCATTTTCTCAAAAGCTGAAAGAGCACCGCTTGTATTTACTGTCCCTATCATCTCTTGCACTTTGGTTGCGGTCCTAGCAGAATTATTTAAAAAAAAAAAAAAAAGGTGTTGGGACAATATATAAATCAAGAAGAAACACTCTGTATGGACGAGCTTCCCATAAAAGATGTAAAGAAGAATAATAGGTAAATGAGACAAACTTAGCAGTGCGAGCACGTGCAAGGAGCGTATCTTTCTTTGCTTTTGCCTCTTGTATCTTACTCTCCAAGAGCTGCACAGAGAAAAGGAAACAACATAATGTTTACAAACTCAATTTTCTAAGTACCAAACTTTGCCATAAGCAATTTCAGAAAATATAAGAATCATATGCTTTCGAAATGGAAGAATTCTGAAAATACAGATAATAATCTAAATATCTTCTACATTATGTCCATAGAAACACAATAGTGCCTTAGTACAAAACGTGAAGAGAGATACTTAGCATATGAATCTTAAAACGGAGGTATCATAATTCAGGTTCAACTCTGGTACTATCTCTAAACCATTCAAATGTTATGGTGGCATGATGAAAATTATGTATACATGATTCTTTGTTTTATTGAGTAATGCCGTGAAGAAAATTTCATATAATCATAGCTCTAAAGAATCCAACAGTTTGTAGTAAGTCAAACTATATAGATAAAAATGACGAAAACTAACCCTTGTATTTGAAACAAGATTGTCGACAACACCTTTTTGCTGATCTAGTTGAGTTTTCAGAGCACTTGCGTTGTCCTGTTAAGAAAAAGGTGAACAAATAAATAACTTCAAAACAAAAAGTTCTAGATACTTTTGTAATGTAACCAAGACAATGCATGTATTCAAAGACTTCAATAGTTAAAAGGTATCAGCAGGCAAAAGATAGCGATAATGTGCCTGCCTTCAATTCGTTAGCCATTTGCAAAGGTTACACAAAATAATACATAATCAACAAAACTGAAAAAGAGCCATACGGTCCGTTGCTCAAACAGAAGCACATCAAAGATGATAGCCTACATACTGATATGTAGAAAACACTGAAGACTCGTGTTGGCTGTTTCTGCAGTGCTAAATATAACCAAAATTTTATTTTTTTTCTGATACTGAAAGACAATAGTCAACATCCTAATATGTAGAAACACAGAAGGATCGTTTTTGGCTGCATCTGTAGTGTTATATATATCCAAAATCTCTTTTGTTCTAACACTGCAACCACCTTAACAAACAATATCTTTCAAAAGAATACTCGGCATTATAAACACAGCCAAGCTCTATTGCATCTAAAAATGATTGGAAAAAAAAGGGGGGGGGGGGGGGGAAATCCTGAGGAGAATTAGAGAATACTTAGATATCTAAATTTTTCCTTTTTACTTTCACCACCTCCTAACTAAACCTTGTAGAAAACCAAGGGATCAGCCTCAAAACGCTCGAAGCGCCAAACAATTAGGTTCTTTCATTTGTTGGAGTAAGCACACTTAAGAAACAGAAAACTGGTGAAGAAGAGAATGGATAGATATAACCTACAGCAAAAGACTTTCGTCGTTTAAGGGCCTCACGTGCAAGATCCTCATCTCCTTTTGCAAGAGCAAGTTGTGCCCTTTTGTACCTATTCAAGCGTGCAACATGTAAGAATAATCAGTTATGTGAAGAATTAAGTAAGAAAGAACGGATCCAAGCTAACAAACATACCAATCATCAGAAGCCTGCTGTGCAGCTTTATATTTGTTCTGCAACTGCTTTTGTGATGCTAAAACCTTCAGACACGTTGGTAATACACAAGTTAGCTAACCTCATAAATAAAGGCAAACCATGCTCTAGTAAAAAAATGAAGAAGAAAAACATCACAAAGGGACATGTATAAAGCTTTTTCACGAGTAAGAAGTGTACCTGTGCAGTGGCTTGACGCATCTTTGTCAAATCACTATTCATTTCAATCACAGTTTGCTCAAGTATTTTCTCCGGGTCTTCAAAAGAGCTTATGAGCGCATTGGCATATGACTTTGCTTATTGAAATGAAAAATAAACAAGAGAACTGATTAATGAACTCCAATGCATTATGACAGTCAGATACAGAATCAGGAAGATTAAAAGTACCTTGACCACTCTAGAAAATCGTTCAAAAAGATTCATTGTAGCACCATGACCATTGCACCTGAGTCTATTTGCACAAGCTAATCTAAGCACATTCACTCTCAGAGCTCCACCTTGTATAGAAAAAAACAATAATCCTTTTGAGTCTAACAATAAGGCCATGGAAACATCAAACCAACAACATAACTAAAAAGCAAGAGAACTAAATGTTAGACATGTGAAACAGTCAAACGTATACCGAAGTTATAGAAAATGACTAAGAATAAGACCTTGTCGTGCATTTTCACACAAGGTCACCCCAAAGAGTATATGGAAGCATGAGAGACCCTATTTATCTCTAAATTTCATAGATACTAAATCAGAAACACAAAATCATACACTAAATTTCATAGACCCTATTTACTTCGGTTCACTCTCTGACAAATCACCTTCACAAGTTTTTCAGGTAAACTCAAACATGGTCAATACCCAATTTTACTTCAATTCACTCTCTGGCCAATCACGTTCACAGTTTTTTTCAAACAAATTCTAGATAGCTGCACTATTTTCTTCCGAGTAATTCAAACAATGAGCAAGCCTAATGAAATGAAGAGAAATCAAAACCCTGAGGCGAATAAGAGACGACGGATACACACTTGAGTTACCGAAGAAGGATGGTCTGAGGGGTAGAACCCTGAGGGAACAAGGGCGATTAGAAGTCGAAGGAGAAGAAGAAGCAGTAGGACGGAGAGGAGGGAATAATCCGGCAACTGGTGAAGCTTTGAGAGCCATTTCAATGGCGGAAGGAACTGTTCCGATTTCGACTCTTCTCCTTCTCTCGTTTTCGCTTTTGGTTGATTGGAAGATGTTTGTGGTCTCGGAGGCTACTCGGATGTTGTTCCGATTTTTTTTTTCTTTTCTAATCCTACGTCGTTTTGGTCAAAGAAATACATTTACATACACATAGAATGACAGCGTGGAGAGGAGGGCAAGTGTAACGCCCGTCTCCCATGTATTCTGGGTGGTGCCAAGGGTACCTTGCCGAACATAGGGTTGAGTGTACTTGAGTAGATCCGAGGGTGATCGAAGATTCCTCAAAGTGATCGACGGGTCCTCGTATTACCGAGAGAATTACCAACTGGTTGAGTTAGACTCCGGTATTTTCGGATCGGATGAGTAGTTATTCCGATGTTTCGGGTTTTTCCGATTATCGGGATGTTCGATAGTCTGCATGAGTTGATCGAGTGGGAAACGGTTATTCGGCAGCTATCGTGTATGCGCGTGTAAAGAAAATCATCTACATGAAATTTATTTTTTTGTCTCTAAGGATATTTTATTTAAAATTGGAAATAAAAATTACACAAAGCAAACAAAAGCGACTCTACCCTTCCATAGATATAGCCTGCAAGGGTCGAAACGACAAAACCGGCAAATTTGAGAAGGAATTGTGGAAGAAAGAGCTAGAGAAACGGGCGAATTATGTGTTGTTGGGGGAGATTAATATGTGTGGAAAGACGAGAAGAGGATGAGAGATTTAGAATGGAGGTGAAGAGAGAGGAGTGAAGGTTTCACTTGGTAGTAAGTAATTGGTGTTTGTTCAAAGATTGACATATTCTCATGCTTATGAAATTGTTGTAAGCTCATACACGTTTTAAAATGACGATCATAATAATTCACTAATATTCTTCGATTCTTAATATGCAAAATACAACTCCAAAAGAAGTTTTACAAATTGTGTCCATAGGCTAAAATGCTTTCACTATTTGTGGAATCAAAACAATTTAGACATCAAGTGGTAACTATACGAAAAATATGTAAATAATATCCAGACAAAAAGTGTGGATATTGTGTGATATTCTGTACTTAAGGCTTTCAATATTTTTGTAACCAAAAAAAAAAAAACACTATTTACTATTTAGACTTACAAATGGTAAGTGGTAACCATACACAAGCTTTAAGGTAGGATCTCACAATAGAATTAAAAGTAACGTAGCACTATGATAGATTTCCGTTGACCCAGAGATTAAGAACAACTTCGATATTCAAATAGCTAAGATCTGATCGATTACCAAAGTATTAATCAATCTGAAATAAGAGATACAATCGTGAACTCTCACTCGCAAACGATTACAAAGAGATAAACATAGATCTCTCTTCTAGCACATTGCTAGACCAAAGTCTCACAAAGAACTCACAATTATTTATAAATACAACAAAAAATTACGCAAAAGTAAACAAAATGAAACTTGATAATGTATACGAACATGAATCGAACTTATTTTCAGTACATTCTTCGACTTTTTACTGGAAAAAAAAAACATAACCCATTGAAACATTTCGTGAAATACCTGGCAGGCACTTGTTTGCACTTAGCAATGCCTGTGTGTGTTTGAGAGGACGACTGAGGAAGAAATGTCTTGGGGAGAGTCGAAATGGGTTTCTCCAGAAGGAGAAGAAGAGTCGTTATTAAGAGATCTTTGAATCTTCTTTAGTTCTTTGGCAACTTCCACCATCGTTGGAACTTCTTCCCTAGGACCGATGCATCTCAGTGAGAGCATTCGGAAAGCTTCCATTTGACAAAGCTCTTGTTCTGAAATATTATTACCCATCTTTTCTAGCATCTTTGGATCTGCAATCTCTTCGATTCGACGGTCTTCCTTTAATTTTGACGGCAAAGATCCATCACAAAGCTCCGACAATCTTTGTTTTCCTAATAGAAGCGTTTGACCCATAAACATTCCAAAGGCAAAGCCATCTGTTTTCTCTGAGACTACGCCACTGCTATCGTCATAAAAATACAAGTAACTGTAGACTTTGTCAACCTTAACAAATGTTTCTCCTTCTGGGATTGAGACGCAGAGAGAGAAATCAGTCAGCTTCGCAACCCCATCTTCATCCAATAAGATATTCCAAGGATACAAAATCCTATATATGAAGGGCCTTGGGAAGGCAGTGTGAAGGTAAGCAAAAGCAGTAGCGATATCTTCTGCTATCTTCATTCTCCTTTTCCACGTCTGCTCATCTATATCTAATCGATAGTGTTTCTTAACACCGTTATAAACCATGACTGGCTCTTCAGACTCAAGACAACATCCAACCAATTTCAAAAAGTTTTTGTGACCACTCACCATCGATGAAACTGCTATGTCCCGGCACATAAGATCTACTCTCGAGCTCCAAAAGTTAGCACCTTTCTTGATGAGTATCATGGGATGGTTCTCGTTCTTACCTGAATACCAATCGGAGTAATAAGCTAATCCAGAAACACGATTAATGTCGCTGAAATTGTTGGTGGCTTTGAGGATCTCATCAGCAGAGAAGAATTTGATGGGATTGGATATGCCATGGCCGAATTCGATCAGATCTGTTAACACCTTGGCTCCTCTCTCAGACACTATATCGGACACCACATCGGATTTTGGCTTCTTCTTCTTCTTCTTCCACAGCCAATCCATCTCAAAATCTAAGAATTAACGGAAAGAAGCTTTATTTTGAAATCAAATGAGCAAAGGATTCGAGACCTCACACTCACTTGATAACTAAATGGGATATTTGGATTATATTTCTAAAGGAACTCGATTCTTCGTTGAATATTCAATACTGACGTCCTTCCACGAAATTCAGAAATAAACATTTTATTGTTTTTTTTGTGAAATTATGGTGATTTCTAGGATTTTTTGGTCTGCTGATGTCATCAATTTAAAAAATTTTAATGGTTGTTACTTAGTGAAGGTTCTTCAAAAATTCACACCTCGGCTGGGATTAGATCATCTAATTGTTAAGATTTTCGGTTACTACATTTTCAAAGTTACGAAAATATGTTCTGTAAATCAATTTTTCTTTCTTTTTTACTCTAATTTTTTACGAAATAAAATCGGTGTGTCCTTGTACTCACCCCCACTTGATCTTTCTATATATAAGAAACACCATACCACTTCCTTGTAAAGATTTTCACTAAAAACTAAAGAAATTTTCCAGAAACTGTCCATAGCTTTCAAATTCTTTAGGAACTTCTACAAGCTTTTTGATAGCTTCCAAATTCGCTCAGAACATTCGAAATGAAGAAAGTAATTGCGACCAAACTATCTTCTAAGTTTTATCTTATCAAATTCATTAGGATTGAACCCGCAAGACAAAAACTTATTTTTAGTTAAAATCATTTTTTAACATTAAACGATAATTATCAAATTTATTAGCCCCACAACTTTTCTGAATAATTATATTTTAGTTTTTAAACCACCAATCATTCTTTCATTCTATCATTTTATCTTAATTCCTTAAATATTGAATTCTTCAAGTTTGACAATAGTTCCCAAAATGGATTTTCTTTACTAATATAAGCATCGGTTTAAAAGAAATAAAAACAAAAGCATTGGTTTGTAATAAATGAAAAGTAAAAAAAATTCAAACATCACATTTGGCAATTTTCTAAATCCGTCTTTGAAAACGCGTCTCTGTGTTTTCTTTTGCCGTTTCTTTGTCTGAATATGAAACAGAGAAATCACCAGAATTTAATTCATTAATTCAAATAAAATCTCAAATTTTCTCCTCCGGAGATATCTAAGATATTATAGGCGATGGAACTGAGGAGAAAATTGTGCATTGTGGTTGCAGTTTTCGTAATTGTGAACGAATTTGCATCAGGCAATTTCGTGTTTAAGGTACAACACAAGTTCGCAGGGAAAGAGAAGAAGCTCGAGCATTTCAAGTCTCATGACACGCGCCGCCACTCTCGGATGCTCGCTTCCATTGATCTCCCTCTTGGCGGAGACAGCCGCGTAGACTCTGTCGGGTTTTGTTCTTTTTCCCTCTCTTTTTCTATCTCAAATGCTACCGTTTTATGTATAATAAATAGCTTCCGACTCAAAACCAATTGGCAATAAGCTTGAAAAAATTCATGTCCGTTATATACTATGTTAGTTAGATACAACGCAATTCCGCAAAGTTGAGAGTTATAACGCGATCTGGTTGTAATCGTATATTTTTGTTTGGTTTACGACATAGTTTATGTATCATTTGGGACAATGCGTAAGTTTAGGTACTAATGAAGTTAAATTTTCTTGATTTTGTTTTAGATTATACTTCACTAAAATCAAGCTCGGGTCGCCACCAAAGGAATATCATGTACAAGTTGATACAGGAAGTGATATACTTTGGGTCAATTGCAAGCCGTGTCCAGAATGTCCCTCGAAAACTAATTTGAATGTAATGCTTCCTTCTTTTTATTCACTTACTATCAATTGGTAACACAGATGGATCATATCTTTGTTGTTTTTTGCCAATGCAGTTCCATTTATCGTTGTTCGACGTGAATGCTTCTTCGACTTCTAAGAAGGTTGGTTGTGATGATGATTTTTGCTCTTTCATTTCGCAATCGGATAGCTGCCAACCCGCTGTTGGATGTAGTTATCACATTGTCTATGCGGATGAGAGTACAAGTGAAGGTAACTTTATAAGGGACAAGTTAACTCTAGAACAAGTTACTGGAGATCTTCAAACTGGACCACTTGGTCAAGAAGTTGTATTCGGGTGAGCTTAATATCTTCCTTATCTTTTGTTTGTGTGAGTTATCGTTTGTGGTGTTTTTTTTCTCATAAGGGCTTTTCTTTGAGACAGGTGTGGAAGTGATCAATCTGGACAACTTGGGAAGAGTGACTCAGCAGTTGATGGTGTTATGGGTTTTGGACAATCAAATACCTCTGTTCTTTCACAACTAGCTGCCACGGGCGATGCGAAAAGAGTTTTTTCGCATTGCTTGGATAATGTTAAAGGAGGTGGGATTTTTGCTGTTGGTGTTGTGGATTCTCCAAAAGTTAAAACAACCCCTATGGTACCTAATCAGTACGTGATATGTCTTCTCAAGTCTATTTATTCTTTCCATCAAGAAGTTAGAGTAGGAGTTGTTGCTGTTATACGAAGACCTTCTTAGCGACCGCTAACATGTGTTTCTCAACGATTTTAGGATGCATTACAATGTAATGTTGATGGGAATGGATGTGGATGGAACTGCCCTTGACCTTCCACCAAGTATTATGAGGAACGGAGGAACCATTGTTGATAGTGGTACAACTTTGGCTTACTTTCCAAAGGTTCTTTATGACTCCCTAATAGAAACGGTAACTTTCTTTGCTCATTTTAGTGTTTATTTCTAGTTTGTGTGAATCACAATCCTGACATGAGTTTTTGATTTGTAGATTCTTGCTCGTCAACCTGTAAAACTTCACATAGTAGAGGACACCTTCCAATGTTTCAGCTTTAGTGAAAAGTAAGATGCTTGTTTCTTTTCCCTACCGTGTTTATTTCCGAACCATTCTCTTTTAGATACCTATAAATCGAGCCTTTCTTAAGTAGTATGCATCATTACCTATATAACTTTAGTGTGTTATATATATGCTAAGCTCTTCCTCCTTAAACTTGCAGCGTGGATGTGGCGTTCCCACCAGTAAGTTTTGAGTTTGAGGACTCTGTCAAACTAACCGTTTATCCGCATGATTATCTTTTCACACTTGAGGTAAGTCAATAGATGTTTGCGAGATTTCATCAAAACGTTTCGAGATGTTCTAGCAGGATGTTTCGAGTTATGATGATTAATTGATGGAATTTGTCTCTTTGTTTTTGCTAACAGAAAGAGTTGTACTGCTTTGGTTGGCAAGCTGGTGGACTGACAACTGGTGAAAGAACAGAAGTGATTCTCTTAGGAGGTAAAATTCAAAATTCTAATAAAATCTTTCTTTCGATATTATCACTCTAGACGATAGTCATTTCACTTATCGTTTTGTAGACTTGGTGCTCTCGAACAAGTTAGTAGTATACGATCTGGAAAACGAGGTGATCGGATGGGCAGATCACAACTGTAAGTATCTCTAGAACCCAAAAAAAAGTAGCAAACTCTGCATCCTTTCTTCTCATACAAGCAAATGCGTTTCATATTGAAGGTTCATCAAGCATCAAAATAAAAGACGGATCGGGAGGAGTATACTCGGTCGGAGCAGACAACCTCTCATCAGCGCCTCCTTTGTTGATGATCACAAAGCTTCTTACAATTTTGTCACCATTGATCGCAGTGGCTTTACTTCATTAGCATAGTAACAAAGAGACCATTCATCTGGTTTATATATGCATTGTCTTGGTAATGGATGCTTAAAAAAGATTAAATCATTTTAATAGTCTTCCTTCCAACACAAACAAACACATCTCTTTTCTTGTTCAGTTTTGTATACAGATCATATACAACAGTATATAGGCATTTACATATCTGTTATAGAGGATGGGAGATAGGGTAACTAGAGAGTGTTCTTTAAGAACTGTACAACAAAATAGACAATGGCTAGAAACAGTGCAATTTGATACACATCTCTCTCAAAGCTGTCGTCTCTTTGGAAAAACTGCATCACCACAACTAACATTCTCTTAGTTTGCAAGAAAGACTATGTAGCCTTTTGTCTAGCGTCTCCCGGGTTTGTTTTAAATCAGACTGATTAATGATTGACTATATGGTTTAAGCAAGAAATATATAATAGTGTTTTTTAGTTGAAACTGACCTTATTTGGATCGGTTGGATCGCGATATATATCTGTGTCCTCTGTTCGAGTTGTCAAATTGGCGGTCAAGTCTTTTGTGACATCGGATAAATCTTTTGCGGATTCAGAAGCAGCAAAGAGGCGGCGGGATGTCCAGAAATAGGCTTGTGCAATAGGGGATGATGAAGATAAGTCCCAAGACTCTTCATGCTCAATCACTTGGCCACTAATCTGGTTAAGAGTAAATTCAGATTTGACTTTGATTATCAAATCTCCACTTACAGCAGCAAGAATAGATTTGGGTTTTCCTTTGACTGTCCATTTAATACGCAAGACGCTGGTCGATAACATTACCATCTCCTGTACCGTCTACAAATAAAGGGGAAAAAATCACATAACTTGTAACCAAAATGGTTAGAAACTGCCAAAAAAATGTTATATAAAGGTTGAGATCAGTTCTTACCACGGTAGGATTCTCTAATCCACTAGTTATCCACATTGGTCTTTTATACTTCTCACGACCTGTAAAACTTCTAACCGGATCCTGAAATCACTATCAATCACGATGTATTTACTTACTGTCAAGGAATATCAGAACATCACACGAGAAATAATGGAACAGAAGTGTTGTAATGTTCGAACAAATCAATTTTTACAGGACCAAGTCTAAATGCAAAATATCCTTCACCCGTTAGCTTGTTAGTCCCTTTAATTGTTGTTGGACCTTAAACAAAACTGTGCCCTTTCCATTTCAACAGCAATTTGTAAAGACTATCTCATCTAGTTCATGAGCTAGACATAATATCTATTGTACAAAATATAGTCCAAGCTATTCAAAACAGGTGAAAAGTCTGTTTCAGCTGCGTGAACTGCCTAAAAGACAAGAGGTTGCTACAAATTTGTTCTAGACTACTGCTTAAAGCTAGAAAGAATACAGTCACAAGATATATTCGAGTGATCCATTTTGAACAAAGTGGATTAACCAGTGTAAATTACAATGTGACAGAGAAATGTACCTTATATTTAACGGAAACTGCATAGCATGCAAAGGCACGATTTCCTTCTCTGAGTTCAAGAATGTCGCGAACAAGTTGTCTAGCTGTGGATTCCACTTGTGGGCTACTTGTGCACTCAAAATCATTGCATAATTCCCCAAAATCAATCCTGTCAACAAGCTTGTCTACTTCTGATTTATCAATGGATACTTCAGTCCTGGTGGAATCATTCATAACTAAGACAAAAAAAAAAAGAACAAGATAGGATTTAAGATAGAGTAGAGTGGGAGATAAAGAATCAACAGCAGAAGTATCATTCAAAGATATAATAAGATCACATAATAATCCAAAGATATAGAAAAACCAAGTGGTGAAACCTGATATAGAGAAGAGTAGTAATGTACCTTGGGGAAGACGGTGGTGGATCTTAGAGGGAAGCCAAGGGTGAAGGAAGAAGCGCCGCCGGAGAAAGGCGGCTGAGGGAGGAGAAGCAGGGAGGAGGAAGGAAGAAGTATTCATCGGAGTGTATTTCCATTATGATATCTGATTGTGTGGCCAACGGCTTAATGTCTTCCTTGCCCAAATTTTTTGTGGTTCCCTTTTAAATAACAAAATCTCCTGACTTTTGGATAAGGTTTTTTTATTTTCTCAACTTCTTATTTTTTGGCAAGTATTTTTCAAGATGACATTCCTGTATTATTACCTCACAAAGAGGTTAAAGACATTTAAGCTCTCTATAAACCAAAACCAACAAACAATTCTTAATAATCTGTTTAATAAGAATCACACCAACAATGTAGGAATCAAAACCTTAAAAGCATCTGAATTTTGCGTTAAGAAAAGTAAAAGATTGTGTTTGTTTTATTAAAAGACAGTGAAAAAAAAAAAGCAGAGTGTCTCTCACTCACTCCTCTTCTTCGGCCTCTTCCAGCCAATTCACAAACGGTTCCAATCCCTTCACAAACGCTTGCCTGCAATGCAAACCAACACACACCATCATTACATATATATTACTAAGAATCCTATTATTAACCTTCTTTTTGCAAAAATCAAATATAGTACCTGCCCTTTGGGTTGGTCCCTTTGCGATACCAGTGGAGAATGGTGTCTTCAGCGAGCACATCAAGTTCATACAGAGACCTCACTACCTCTGGAAACACTTTCATCAGCTTTGCATCTTCATAGCATTGCATCTGTACTTTGTACATCAGTTCCATCTCCATGTTCCCGCTGCAGCACAGCGTGTTCAGAAGTGGCGCCCATGTTTTCACCTATCACAAAATAGCGGCTAGCTTAGCTTAGCTTAGCTTTAAGACCAAACAACATAATCTTGCTTCAAAACAAAACAGAAAATCAACTCACTTGGCGTAATACAGCATTTGAATTTTGCTGCTGGTTTTTCCCAGACCATTGAACAGCATTCATTATCCCATCCCAGATCACATGCACAACCTCAATCTCAGGCAGCTTTGCATCTTTCACTTGTTGCTTCACCGTTTCAATCACTTCATCTACGTTTATTTCCTCTGTCACTTGGCTCGTAAGGACCGCTTTGATTTCCTTCAGCTTCACCTCAAATATTTTCCTTTCATTGTACTCTACCAGAGCTGTCAATCCTGCCTTGCTTAAAATCACAAGAAAAAATATAGCACATATATCAATTTTACAGATTCATTAAGAAAGCAGAGCCGACCAAAGATGAGTGATAAACTAATACAGAATCAGAAGACAGAGGACCTGGGAATGTTGAACTCAACAAAATATTGACAAAAAAGTTAACCTATTGGATCTTAACAATGGCATTCATATCAATATTAAACGAGTAAAATTTAGAGAAATGCAGGGAATCAGAAGAGCAAGGAAACTGTAACAAGTAACAAAAGAACCAAACATTATAATATTGAATACAGCAAACTTCAAGCGATTAAAACTCACGTGAAATGCTCGGCAAAACTTTCAGTAGTCCGCTTTGTGGGTGGCAGGAACTCCAAGAGTTTGTCATCCATCTTGCCACGCCTCAGAATAGAAATCAAGTCATCAAGACTGTTCTCAACCAAATATTCATTGAAGAAGTCTGTTACAAAATTGAGAACTATCCCTTTGGCAACAAGATTATCCTTAAGCAATGGCTGGAAGACAGTCTCTGCAGGTAATCCTGAGAGCTTCTGGGAAAATGCGAGCGCTGTGAATATTGCAAGCTTCTTCCTCTCATTCTCCTCAAAAAGCTCCAGTGACTGCAAGAATCTCCGCGTAACATTTTCAAGGTTCTTAATAAGGAAGGCTTTCCTCCGCAAAATTTTCTGTATGTATACAACTGATGGTAAAATAGCTTCACGCGTTGGTTCACAGTCGATTATAGAGTAAGGGTGGCGTTCCCCTTCATCAGATTTCACTGAACCAGTTTGTGTACGTCCTCCAATGAAAACAACCTTAATTGATAAGAGAGAGATCCATCAATTCATAATCTCGGAAAGACAAGCAAAACAAAAAGTCACTTGAGACAAGAAAACAAAAAACTAGTAGTATCCCATGATATAGAATGAAATCAAATATCCAAAGATCTTGAAAAACATAACAGTCAGGTAGATCTCCTATTACACCATCTTCAGAGAATATATAAACCATATTTCACTGATTTTTGGGAAGTGATTAACAATAAATGGACCCAAACAGATGAATATAACTGTTCAACTGGACATGAGAAAATATCTCTTAAGAAGACATGAAATACATAGGTAATAGAAGACAGCTGAGACAGCATTGATATATGAAGAATTACCTCAAAGAAAATATCACCGTATCTTGAGAAATTAAGATCAGATGATTCTAAACTTTTGGCAACAAGTTCCTAGGAGAAAGCAAAAACAAAGTCATAAGTTAAGGTGCAAGACTTTTTACAAGCAAACTAAAACAGATAAATAAATACTTAAAACACGAAAAGAAGTACCAGATCACCAGCATTATCCACATAAATCTGAACTACAGCATCAGAAAAAGCAGCAGGGTCGAGAGGAGCAGCAATATTCCTTTTGCGGGTCTTAATCCGCGTACCTCTACACACAAAATTGAACAAACTATAAATACAAGCAGTTCCTAAGTCAAAAAAAAAAAAAAAAACACAACTTAATTTCAGTCATTCTAAACTTAATGCTCATGTTAACAATTTCTAACAATAAATGTAACAACTTCAAAGTGTCACTAGCCAGATCAGGGGTCAAGCGAAGAGAGTCTTCTCACAATTCATTTCAAAGTACTTCAAATACTTTATTAGCCTCAGCAGAAAAGAGTACAAGAATCAATAGAAGACAGCTTCAAAGTATCAGAGCTAAATCGGTTAAAACAACGAAAACTAACCATAAAATATCAGAACCTAAGTTTTCAACTTCCATGGACAAATCACAAAGAATAAACATAGACAAAAGGCTCAAACTACAAAAAAAAAATGTAGAAAAGCTTTAAATTCACATACCCGAGAGTGGGTTTCTCCTTTGAGCTGCAAGAAAAAGAGTAATAAAACAGATTAGCAGATAAATAAACAAGAATCTTGAGAAGAATTTTAAATTGATTACGAAAGAATCTTGAATATATACATAAGAAACCCTAGCCAGCCGAAACAAGTCTCGTTTCAGCCCTAAATACATAGATTCGAGAGAAGTCTAATTCAATTACGAACAGTGAATATCCATAAGGATTAGAAACAAATTCAGAATTATGCAAAATCGAAGAAATAGAAGAGATCTGAATCAAATTTTCACGAGAAACAAAATTGGCAGATTCGTCGTCATCAGAAAACCTAACGAAAGAGTGTGAAATCAGATTACCTCATAAACCAAGACGCTAGAGAGATTAAACTGGAGACGAAACCTCTATGAGAACTCACAAGTACGAATTCAAGAGATAGAGGAAGAAAAATCGAGAGCTTTGTCTCGACGCTAAAAAAGAAGAAGGTTATTAACGAAATGACGACTTTAACCCTAATATTCCAAACCGATTCGATTAAGATCCGGTCCGGTTCAAGATCGGTTAACTCCTGACCCGGTTAATTAGTCCTCTTACGTTTTTGTCACTTTGTCAGAATTCAAAAAAGCATCTAAAGAATAAACTTTGAAGAAAAAAAAGATGCAGAGGACTAATTGAAACATGGTTGTATAGAAATAATTAAATAAAGTAATAATAACTCTTTAACTTAAAATCAATGGCACATTAAACCAATAGTGTTAAAATAACAAAACCAAAATTATAACAACTAAATGAATCTAAACTCTAGAAGGCTCTTCGAGACGAATGTAATCATACATAAGTCCTTCAAATGGTCCTGATGCTTTAGATTGTCGAAGATAAATCGTGTTGGTCCCTGTTCGTAGCAATCTTCCAGGTACATTGATGCTATAAAGCCGGTAGAGTCCATGGATTCCATGTCTTGCTATAGCATTATCTCTTCCAATATAGCCCGTTGAGAAGAATGGCCTCGTGTATTCGTTATTGAACCGTACTTGTAGATTAGCCCGTGCAGCCGAGGCTAAAGCTAGCTGCAATGTGTAGCTTCCTCTCATGTTCACGTATGGAAGATGAAACACGATCTGCCATGTAGTTGGTGTGTACGTCGAATCACCGTTGTTTCTTGTGACTTGAGCGTAGAACCAGTCTTGGCTATACTTACTAACTCCAATTGTGTAAATGAGGTCATGATTTGGATATAACTCTGTGTATCGTTGCCATAATCCGTATTGCCTAAACTTGTCCGTGTGGTTTAGATATAAAGGGTTCATTGTGTTCTTGTATGGCTCCGGTACAAAGTATTCTCGTGCTGTTCTATCCGGTACACCAATCTCCCATAGCGTTGGACCGTTTCTAGGAGGCTTGTAGACAACTCTACCGAGTCTACGGTAACAAGGTTTTGGTATAGAAAGTCTCCGATTAAACCGTGAACCCATCCATAGAGATTGTAAGTTCCTGGTCTAACGTTATCAATCTTGAAATAACCGGTTTCGTTCGTCTTTGTCCAAAACTGATAACCCTTAGTATTTGTCTGCCACGAACCAGCTTCTCCCGGTGGTGCTAAACCGACATATGCAAATCTCCCCGGCGTTAAGAATCCGTCGTTGACTAGAAGACGACCGGTAACGGTTCCTCTTTCTCGACGAGAAGGAAAGTCAGAGAATGCTACAAAATCGTACGGCCAGGCTTTAACTTCTTCTTTAGACTGTCGTTTAGCATCTTCCCATAATAATTCATCGCCGGAGTTTAAGTAAATAAAAATAGGTCCTAAGACTTTTTTCCACGCTTCACCACTTTTGTAACGTGTGTCCATGTCCGTACCAACATAATGCCCGCTTATAAAGCTTGCAATGGCTGTTGGGCCGACATGAGATGTGAGCTCTTGTTTCATCGGTCCACCAAAGCGATATTCGCCACTCGATGAGATAATCCAAAAGCCAACGTGGGATTTAGTTGAGATCCAACCATGCACCTTGATGTCTTTGATCTCACATGAGTATTGGTATTTATCATCAACTTGGTCTTTGAACATGGAGTTATGAGGATGAATCAATTGTACAGCCTCTTTATAACCAAGAGCCTTGGCATGACCACGATGGATATCGCGGTCATTGTCCGTTGGCATCTCTCTTTGTATATCATCCGCGACTGCCATGTAATGAAACTTATCTTGGTCGAGTTTGAATACCATTCGAACTTGACCCATCTCAACTTCTGGCCATTCGGGAAGCCTCTCGAAAATTCCGTATGCGTAGAGTCCTGAAGAATTTGTACGTATAATATACCTCTTGTCTACGTTTAATGGAATAATATGAGAACCAGAACCACTCTCCCATGTTCTAGAGAATGAAATCTCCACTTGTTCTTGGTTTTGAGTTATGATTCTAAATTTAGTTCCTTCGATTCGATCTATGCCACCACGAGTCTTTTCTCCTTGCCATGTTATGTCCCAGTACCCTCGAGCTCGTTGATGTGGACTGAGAACATTATTGACTCCTTTGTATTTGATGCCAGTTATAAGTCCTTGAGGACTTGAGAAACTGACACTAATAATACCATTGTCCACTATGACCTCTCTAGTTCCATGTCTGTTTCTTATTTGTTGAACAGTTGGAGCTCTTGGACTTGTTCCATCTAAGTTTCTTGTCGGCCTAGAAAACGCGATTGGAAGAAGAAGCAACAGAAAAGAACAGATAATTAACGAAGTTATCTTCTTCTTCGAAATCATCTTTGCTTTAAAGATCTTTAGATTGAAAATAATTTAAGAAAAGATTGTTGCTTCAAGTTCAACCTATGGATGTGTAGTCATGGGGCATGCATATTTATATGCGTGTGTGGTTTATTTGTTAAGCTAAAGTCCAAGACTAAACAGGAAGAGGTGCACCAAAAACTAAAATATATATCATTATCTGATTTTTTTTTCTTTTTTAATTTTTGTTAAGATAATGTTGAAATAGGCCATGAAAGATCGACCAAAATATATTATCATGAATATAATCAGGTCTTACCTAGGTTTATCAAAACCTAACGACAAAGTCATTAAATTTTAAATAGATATTCCTCTCTTCTAGCAGTGATGAACTTGAAGACGGAGCATGGAGAGAGCTGTTGGTTGTGCGTACCATTGTTCATTTCCTTCCATAGGTGAAAGACCAACCAAAAATAAAAACAAATTAATGGAAACTAGCTTGCGCGTGGATTTAACATATTTTAAAAAATGTTGATATATACGAAGAAATTTGATGTATTTTTGATTTTCTGGTCTTTGCTTTATCAGTAATATAAAAACTTAAACAATAAAAATTATTTATAAATTCGGATTGGTTTTAAAAAAAATTCAGTTTGGAACGATTTGGTATTCGATTTTTGTCAAAAATAATTTTAAAATATAACGAAATAACTAATTTTTTTAGAAATATCATATTAATTAACCAATTGAAAAATATCTACAATGGAGCAAACACTTCTTTTATTCACCCCTTTATCATATCATCTAATTAAATAAATTAAAACAATTAATATTATCTAAATAAATAATATAATAAATTTTCATTAAAACTCCCTAAATTGAATTAATTGTAAAATTTAAATTCTAACCATTCTTATATAAACCCAAACCGACATATAATTTTATTTAATTGTAAAATCCTAATTCTAACCACTCTTTTATAAACCCAAACCGACATATAATTTCATTTAATTGTAAAATCTAAACCTTAACCACTCTTATATAAACCCAAACCGACATATAATTTTGCTTAATTGTAAAATCTAAACCCTAAATCTCATTTATAACCCCAAATCGACATATAATTTTGTTTAATTGTAAAATCTGAACCCTAATCGCTCTTTTATAAACCCAAACCGACATATAATTTGGTTTGATTGTAAAAGCTAAACCATAATCCACATTTGTAAACCCAAACCAACATATAATTTTGTTTTAATTGTAAATTTAAACCCTAATCACTTTCTTATAAGCCTAAACCGACATATAATTCTGTTTAATTATAAAATCTAAACCATAATTTCATTTATAAACCCAAACCGACATATAATTGACCTTGTTTAATTAAAAGCATACATATTTTGTTTCCTTAATATTTTTTGTTTTGTGATTTTAATTTTGATTATTTTAAAATATAGTATTACATGGCATATTGTTGTATTTTGATTGGTTAATTAAGAGGGGATGAATAAGAGAGGTTCATCCCTAGGGGTGAACCCAAGAATTTTTCCAATGGAGCTATATGAAAAGTTAGAGCATCTCCAATGGTGAGAGCCCCCCATGGACTCTCTCTCATTGTTTAATATAAATTGTGGAAATTTGTAAGATGAGAGTTTGTGTAAAAAATTTAAAATTTTTGATAGTCCAATGGTAGTATCTCAAGTGGGGTTCTTAGAAAGAAATTTTTTTATAATATTTCATAAAAAATAAAGATAATTGCAGTTCATAAAATTTTATGTGTTTTGGATATGTTTTTGGTTTATGTGTTTTGGTTTTGTGGAAAAAACAAAGATACGATTTTGGTTTATGTGTTTTGATATGTTTCACAATCGGAATCGTAATTGAGAAAAGACATAGAAAGTTTACAATTGGTTTCCTCTATCACAAATCTGTTTCATAATTGTTTTCCTCTATGACTAAACTTTACAAATTTGATCACAGCATATACAAAGTTTTTCAGTCATCACTGTCTTTAGTCACCAAATCCTCAAACATTCATCAATGTCTTCTCTTTTCTCCTTCCTTGTGAATCGCTGCAACCTTATTCTTCATCCTCTCTGCATACGTTGTCACAAAGCTATCTTCCCACGCTCTGACAAAAGAAAATCTTTTCTCCTTTGACAAATAAGCTAGCTTAACATACCTATATAACAAACAAATGGAGCTCAGTAATTTCCACAAAACATTACAACCAGGAAGTTGTGTTTTTATCCATCTGTTCTCTCTCTGGTAACACACCACTCTTAACACATACAGAGCATGCCCAATCCCAGGCAATCAATTCATTCAAAATCTCTAAGTTCAAAAAAACACTACCATTCTCCTTCTCACCAATCTCCTTAACCAAATCCCACAAACCATAAGCATCCATTCTACATGTATTTGATAAAGACGAAAATCGTTTGATGAGACTATGCAAGACTCTCTCCACTTTTTTTAAAGACGTACATAATTACTATTTCTTATTTTATTATTACTTTTGTAGGTGAGAGACTTGCATTGCACATGCTTTTACAAGTCTATCACAACTAGGATAAAGTTTATTTACCCTTAAATCTACACACGATGATAAAACTTAATCCCTTATCCTACGAGGATTTCTAGAAATATTTTTCGGGTGGGCTTTACTTCATAAATGGACATTGACGATTCATAATACTTGATCTGCATTATATTTCTTGCTCCCCAAATTATATCAATATATCTAAAAACCAGTGTTCTAAAAAGCGGTCTAGGCGGTCGCCTAGGCTCCGACTAAACGCTAGGCTCTCATGCGACGCCTAGATAACCGCCTTAACCGCCTAAAATCACATAGATCTTGTTTAATGTATTTTTTCAATTTCAATTAGAGTTTTATTTATATATATAATTATAAGTATTCATATATTGTTTATTATAAATATAAATAAATGTTTTATCTAGTTTTTATTTATAATTTCATAATTTTTAGTTTTATATAGATATTTTATATAACTTTTATATATAATATTATATTTATAATTTTTTTATGTTATAAACGTCTAAACCGCCTAAAAATCGCCTAGGCCCCGATTAAACGTTCTAGGCGCTAGGCACTGGGTCACCGCCCGCTTAGCGCCTAGCGCTTTCTCGAACACTGCTAAAAACAAACAAGGAAAGCATAGCAACGATCTTGAAACGGAAGACCGAGCCTACAAATATATCGATTTTAGTTTGTATTATATTACTATTTTACGACTACTTCTTTTGAATATGTGGATCTAAAATCTGTTATCAACCTTTAGTTTTGATTTTTGGTACGTTATGTAACTATTTTTGATTATTTTGGGTTGATTTCTCTGATTTTTTTTATCAAGTATTATGGCACATAAAAATTTTGATGATTTTGCCTTGTTTGTATTAGTGTCGTGCTATCCTTTTGCAACATTAATTCATAATACCACTGATTTTGTAATTGATTATTGAACCAATGAGACGTCATATCTTGAAAGATCCAAAATAGCGACGCATGTCCGGATAAATGAAACACTGGATAAAACAGTGACCACCAGATAAATCAGCAAGATCAGTTATTATGAACGAAAGCTGCAACAATTGAGGAAGAGGACAAAGCATCGACAACTAAGGAGAAAGAAATCAGCACCGTTGGTGTCATTTCTTGTCGCCAAAACATGTCCTACGACACCTAAAACATTGTGAAATTTTTAAGATTGTGAAACATTGTGAAATTTCCAATTTTTAAATATTATCGAAAAATAGTATAAGTTTTATAGTACTATCTTGTTGACTCCAGATATCCCACCAGGATTAGGTATTTTGGTCCACATCGTAGGATGCGATATCATCTTGGTCAATTTGGTAGAGGAGGACCATCAGTAACTGCACGAGAGTTGTTCAATCGAAAGCATTCAGATTTGCGATCTGTGATTGAGATGACATTTGGAGTATGAAAAGCAAAATGGAGGATTTTGGATCGTAAGCATCCAAAATATGGTTTGACTAAGTGGATTAAACTTGTAACAACGACGATGACACTACACAACTTCATAAAGGATTCACATCGGGAAGATCATGATTTTTTACAGTGACAAAGCACAGAAGAACATATTGCATATGAGCCGACCGGTGGTGGAAACATTGCGTGACAACATCACGAATGAATGTAATAAAGGTCATTTACCTTATTAGATATATATATATACTAGAAGACATACCCACAAATGAAGATTTGGTTAGGGAGCTTGATGAATCTGATGATGATGGCGAAGACATTAACGTTGATTTTGAGTCTGATGATGAGCATGGTTTATAGAAGGAGATTGGGTGATGAGATGACGATTAGAAACATCATTAGAGTTTATTTATTTTTTTAAAACTCAAATTTATTGTTTATTCTATTTTATTTTATGTTTTACACTTTTATTAGTAAACATTAATTATTATTTTATTATTTTTGAAGTAGTTTTATTCAGATTATTTTATTATGCTATGTTATATATATAACTATATATATATAATAGTATTTTATTGAAATTCCGCCTAAACCGCCTAAAAATCGCCTAGGCCCCGATTAGGCGTTCTAGGCGCTAGGCGGAGGGTTCCTAAGTCTTAGAGAGTTTAGAAGTTCCTATGTAACAATCCCTAGTACAAAATCCCAAAGCTAAAATTATGATTTGAAAAAAAAAGGAAGCATTCTTTTAAAACATATTTTCGAAAATTATAAAAAGTAATTAACGAAACATTATGCATTCCTTCGAATCATAGGATTGTTATACTATATATAGATTAAACCAAATATGTGATTGTATGGCTAGAGCACGTACATCATTTGAGGTGGCCAACATACACTTGAATACAAACGGTCAGCATGATTTATTCCAACATATAGAATACAAGAAAAAAGATCCACGCGATGTGTGGGTATAATTTGAATATATTTTATCGTAAGAAAACTAAATTAGTTTTACCTAAAAACTTATTGTAGCCTCTATTATAAAGAAAATATTAACAAAAAAGCTTCCAAATTATTCATTAAAAGTATTAGTAAACAAATCTTCCAATTTATTTCTTCTCTACAATGACTTAAAAAAAGTTATAATTTACATATTTAAATGAATCATATGATTTGACAAAACATTATCAATATATTTGAAAGACTTTTGAATTAACATTTCGAGGGAGATTGGAAAAATAATGAGAGGGTTTTGTGCAAAAAAAAAAAAAGAGGACGATGGACAAAAAGTGAAAAAATTGGTGAGTT